AGGAAAAGAATTCTTTGTTCTTTAGGCAACACGCTGCTGTGAGGTTTGGCTCACCAACAGATGCTCTTGCAGTGTGAGAGCGCTCACTCAGCCTCAGCCATGGTGCAGGCAATCTTTGTCATCTAGTGCAGGTAACCTAACCCACACAGAAGTGATGACCCATATTAGGAGGAAGTTGCCTGCATTTCACTTGTATCCCTTAGCTTTCACCATCAAAACAGGCTTGTGACTCCTTTGTCAAGCAGAGCATAATTAGATACCTGTCTTCTCTTTGAAAATGATTTACTATTTTGAAGTGTACTGTGGATCATTGGGTGTAGAAAGCCAGGGAGATGAGCACTGTCTTGCAATGTAGAGACAGTCCTCATACTTTCTCACTTCCTTCATGGAATTGGCATGTGGTAACTTGTGAATCTTGACACACTACATGGAGAACATGGGGATCATGAGGATTTCCCTGGTCATTCATTTTTAATTTCCTAAAGAAAAGAGTGATGTTCCCCTTATTTTGATCTAAAGTGGCTGAAGATGCTCTTTGGGGTGACAGCTCTGGTCTTTGTGATTCTAGCTTGTGTACTGGTTGCATAATTACAGCTCTTTAACTTCCAAATGCCTGCTTCCCTATAACAATTCATCCAGATGACACAGGAGATAGTTCACCGAGGCATCTTCCTTTGCTTGCACTGTGCCACTTCAGTCTATTTGTAGTAAGTACCAAGATCATCTGCATAATGTGTGAGGGTGGCAGCAGCTCACATCTGGGTGCAAAATATCTGGAGATACTTCTCCTTAAATACTTTACAGACCATAATCAGTGAGTAAGAGACTTAGTTCAGTGGACATGATCTCTCTCTCTCTCTGCCTCTCCTCTAAGGTTTAAAAATAAATTACTTAGGAACACTTGAGGGGCAACAATAGTAGACCAAGAAGAATAAAAATGAGAGGTGGATCTTCAGTTAGAGAAGTTTCTTTTTTTTTTCCTTCTGAGGTTTCTTAAGCAGATCTGGTCAGGATTCCTCAGAATGACCCTACACCTATGCTGTCCTGAAACTGCATGTTAGTTAATGGCCACCAGCAATTATGTCTTTGATATTATGAAAATTACAAATGAAAACAAAACCTAATGTAGATATAAGGGAATATCACTTGAGTGATAACCCTGTTTCTTCCTTCAATGCTGTTACAAAAAAAAAAAAAGACATTTTCTTTGTAATTCTTTTGCCTGTGAGCCTTACTAAAACTTTATTGCTTTAAGTCAGCAGAAGGAAAAATACCAGTGTTTTTGAGTTTAGATAGTACAAACATAAAAAGTAGAGAAAAAATTATAAAAGCAGTGAAGTTTTTTTCTATTTGTTATTTGCAAACATCTTTAAAAAAAACGTTGCCCTGTGTAATAAGTTTTAGCTTATTTGTATTGGTTTTCTTTTCCTAACTTTTGCAGAAGCTCTCAGAACAGCCTGGTTGCCCTGGGAAACTCTCAGCTGGTTTGCATCAGGAAAGTGGATTCTATGAAAAATCGAGAGGGCTCCCTCCTGCCCTTTAATCCCTCATACCTCTTCCTTGGCAAAAGGTGGAACATGTTGTGCTGGATCAAAGCCAGCTGATCAGCCAGTGCACACGTGCTGCAGAGGTGGTCACAGACTCAGCTGTATCCAGATCTGCAGTGTCAGCACTGACCTCACTTCTCATTCTCTGCTCAGTCCCAGATTTTTGTAAACATCTGGGACTTCATCTCTTTGAGGGGTTTAATTTAGGTCAGTCAGTGGGCCCAGCTGTGCTGTGAGTGGATTAAGGGACACAGTAGCAAGAAAACCTTGATTTCTTCAGAAACCAAACTGAAAGATATCCAAGGGACTTTCACCAGGAGTAATAGCCCTTTTCTTTTTCCTGTGTGGTGTCATAACAGATTAATGTGATAGGCAACAGTAGTTGGTATAGGTAGGTAACAATCACAAAGGTAAGCTTTGGGTTATGTTTCCTGCAATCATTTTATTAGGTAAATACAAAATTAAAATAGAAGCGTTCCAAGGGGGGGAGTAAAAAAAAGGCAGTAAATCGTGTGTCTTGATCGCAAGGGCACCTTGCTTGTGTTTAAAAGCTTGGATTAAGTCCCTGACTGAAGCTAGCCTTGTTCTAAAACATGCATGGAGGATTGGAAAAGTGAGCTCCAGGAGTTGCTTGAATGAAGAAGACACTGTCTTGCAGGAAAAAAGCATTTGAGTAGTTATTTTCTGTCTCTTGGAACTGATCTTAGCTGTAAACTAAGGCTAACTTCACGAGGTGTACTAAACCAGTAAGAACTGTGAGATTGTAGCAATGTAACAGCATAAACTTCCTGAAGTATTTTAGGAGGAAGAAAGATTTGGACTGCTGGTAGTTTTACAGAATATGTGCAGCTGCATATTAAAAAAGTTCTTTCTGCCTCATGCAGAAGAATGGAATAGCTTTGCTAATTTGAGGAGGGCTGAAAGGTAACAGATTGGAATTATTATTTTCTTTTTAAAAATTAATAGTAAGTTTGGAAACAGTTCCTAAATAAGGAGTGAAAAATAATGCCAAATAAAATAATCTAAATTAACTTTTTCTTAAATCTGGTCAGTTTTGAGGAAACGTTTGAGGCATGTTTTGAGGAAACGATTTCATAAAATTTGGTGAATAACACCTGCAAAGATGGGTGGTAGAAAAGAAGATACTTAAACAAATTGGTTTTAAGTTTTATACCCTATGTTTCTGAACTGTAGAGGAGATTAAATTATGTTAAACTTAAATCTTCACAAAGTATCTTTTTATTTCTGGGGTTGACATTGCATTTAAATTAAAATCAGTATTTTAGGTTGACATTGTAAGTGCTATAAACTACATAAAGCTTGAGGAAACCTTGATACTAAATAAATATAAGTGTTGACTTGCTTCTCTTTACCTGTCTTTAGAATTTGGGATTTGCTACATACTCTCTGCAGAAGACATTCAGCTGAGTTAAGTGAGCGTATTTCATGAGGAAACTTAAAATACACTTGCCTCTGAGCTTATAAAGCAAAAACACGTCTTTTGCTTTAGAGAATCAGTGGAGTCTCGCTGTGAAGAAGCCATTGTCAAAGCTCTGGTGATACAACAGCTGAGGGGAAGAAATGGCGACAGTGTAACCATTATTCATTAGCCCTCAGAAGTCTCCACCTAGGCAGCATTTTTCTTTTCAATTCGCAAAGCCCATATTTTTAGCAGCTCTTAAGAAAACCACCTTCCTGGTGTTGCCAGCTCTGACTGTTTTGTGGAGTATCAAGTAAAATGCAAAGGTTTTTGTCTTTACAGTATAAGAATAGCAAAAAACAAGTTCACCGTATTCCTTACGGTACAATCTATCAGTAGAAACCCCAGAGCTGTATACAAGTGTTGTTTAACAAACTTAACCACCTCTTTTCAGTGAAACTTGAAATAAAGTAAATGGTTAATTAGATAGCCTTGTTTCTTTTTACCAATCCCACAAAAGTGCTTTGAAACTTTTGTGGAAACATTGGTTGAATGGCAAACTTTGATAAACTTGACTTGAAGTAATTCCACAGTAAAGTGAAGTTAGAATAACAGTCATTGCATTCCTATGCCCTGTCTTCTGTATGAAATGGGCTGTAGATCCCAGTGGGCTTGAAGCATATAAAGTACAGACTTTAAGTTGTTTATATTTGTGAGGCTTATACGCTTGGTGTGTCAGCAACTAGCTTGAAATGTGCAGGGAACAGCATCACTTGGAAGAAGCTTATTGGCAAAATTTAAAAAAAAGGGCAGAGGAGAAAGAAAGAAGTGGGGTCTTTGACATGTAATAAGGACTGCCCATCCTTTCTCGGGATCAGAAAATGGTTAGTAGCTGTATTAATAAGTTTCCGCATAAACTTCCACTTGTCTGTCTTCCTAAATACTATCTACAATGTATTGCTGAATCATTTAGGCATCTGCTCAGAGGAAGAAATAAGGCAGTTGGAAAATTGTGTAGATCGTGACTTTGGCAGAAAGGGATGCTGCTATGAGGAATAAGAACTTTGCTGAGGGGACACAGACTGTGGGCAGAAGAAGCCTAAATATAGGAGTATGGAGAACCCATGTCAGGAGGGAGAAGTGGGTGCTGTGACATAAGGCAGGGGGAAGATGGGGTTGTGAATGTGTTCTGGACTGTGCAGGGAGAAGCAAGTGGAGTCAGAGCAGCTGTGTCTGTTCTGGAAGAGGGTATTTTTGGGTGGATGCTTTTTACACCCTTTACCTTCACACAATTGTGCTTTATCTGAAGCCCTGCATGGTAGCTAGCCATCTAAATTCACATTAATGTTTTCTATATTAAATACATTGTAATACAGATATAGTCATTTGGTTCTCAAGTTGTATGAATTTGCAACATTAAAAAAATATGGTTGCTTGATGAATGCATTGTTCTTTCAAAAATGCTAAGTTTTCCAAAACTAAGACCTCCTTTATTTTTTTGTTCTGATTTCCAGCATATTTGCCATAGTCTGGTGATGCACAATAACAGATACATCACTCTGTCTGTATAGATGGTGCAGAAGTCAAGAAACAGGGGGTATGACTGCCACAAGATGCAATCCAGCATCTTCCTTTTTCTAAGCATGTTTGTGAGCCTTGTTGTACCAGAACTATGTCCATGTACTCTGTGCTCACATCCTCACTAAATAGAAACAGTACTTAGCATACACTAAATAAAATTGCCCCCTTGAATAGCTGTTTCACCCGATACACAAGGTATTGTCTCAATGATGGATACATGAGAGTGTAGTGTTACCAGGTAGCTGCTCCTGGCTTTTCTGGTAGCCTTAATGGGTATAAATTCTGCTGGGCTGCTTTGACACAACTGGAAAAACCCTGCTGAATCGAGGTGTGCTGACCTCAGTCTTTTAGTGTTCATGTGAACATCTCTGGTTGCTAACAGCATCAAAGATGCCTGGGCTCTAACCAGATTTTTTTTTTTATTTTTGTTTTTATAATCAGAATCTCACATCTGCTAAACTCTCCCAGCTAACCCCTTCCTCATCACCTGATACAACGAATGCAGCTAGAACAAGTGAGTAAGTACTACTGACTGTCACCAGCTGTACACAGGAGGAATAAGTTGTAGGTGCCTTGCATGGGAAACTGGCTTCCCTGGCTTTCAGAGTTGTGAATTTTCACTAACTTGGAGGACCTGAGATACCTACTGGATTAATCTTACCATGTATAAATGAAAACAAATTTGTTAGGGAATTGAGCTAATTAAGGTAATTTATAAGAGAGCGCAAGAAAGTGCTGAAGTTGCACCACTGCTTTCTCCCACAGTAAAAGACTCTTAACTCTGTCAGGTGTTTTCATAAGTTATGCAGAGGATGGTGGGTGAGCGTAGAGAAAGCAAATTCTGTGGAGGCATGTAAATATAAAGTGATGTGCTTCCATTGATGGGCTAGGGAGTGCTGAGGTGACTGTATGTAGGCTGTATGTAAAATCCAGTGGGGCAGTATAATGCTGTAACTGAGATGATTGGGTCCAGTTTTGTGATGGTGTGAACACTGTTGTGTAGGTGGAATTGAATTAGGTTCCTGAAAACTTCAGGCACTTTGAGTTCCCCAGTCTGGATCTATTTGCAGGATATTGCCTATTTGCTTTACTTTATGGTTTGCCAACATTTCCCATATCTTCACAGGAATAGAGAAAGTACTTCAAGGAGTATTAGAGTGGTAAACGGCATCAGCCCTAATGTTTCTCCTCCTGTTAATCTTTACTGAATGAGAGCACTACATCCAATTGACTTTTAGAGTGTAAAGACTTGAAAGCAGTATCTGAATGCAGTTCTATTACAATACAGGTTATTGACACACACGTACAGACAGTGTATGCACAGAGCACTTTGTGAAGTGTATATGCTTCAGCGCTTTGGGAGTTTTGGGGCTTTCTGGTTTGTAAGGAGATTATTTCTGGGGTTTGTTTTTGATGTCAGTAATGGTAGGCTCAGTTTACATTAAGAACTGCTTGGTGTTGAAAGTTATATTAAAAACCACCCCCACTTCCTTACAGTACAAACAAACAAAAATACACCCTAAAGATATGAAGCCTGTTAAAACGAGCCGATGAGCTTTCCAGGAGGAGCCAGGGAGAGGTGAAGCCACAAGGAGGCTGAGGGCCCATGGGAAGAGTTGCAAGAACAGGTTGGTTGGTGAGAGAATGAACGGAAGGGTGAAACTGAATACGGAGCTCAGCTATATCAGAAAGCAGATATTTTTTTTCCTCTTGTCATCTACAGTACACTTCATGTTACTTTCTAAAATTCATTTCTCTGGTAGATATGTATTCATTCGTCATTTACTCAATCTCATCTTTTGTTTATTTTTATAATGTTTTGTTTGTCTAAATACAGGCTACTGATGTGTTCAAGCTGACGACAAGTTAGGTGCAACTTATTAGACTGTTATGTGTAACTTTATTTCATAACTTTATTTTTAACTGAATTTTATATATCTGAGAACGTAGGGTGTCCATTTTTGCCATTTTAAGTTGTAGGTAATTCAATATCAAGTAAGTTTTCAAATTTGCTACATAAATAGCACTCTAAATTTGTAGTTAATAAAATGTCCTCGTTGTAGCTTGTATTTTGCTTAGCATTTATGCTTTATTTAGAACTGGAAATTGAAAGCATTTTCAGTTAGAAAGGGCTGATGAGAGTTCAGCTGTTCTTCTTCCCATTCAAAAAACAATCATATACTCTAATTTTCCTTCTTGTTTCCTTAAAGTGGTTTGGATTACAATTCATTTTATATTTAAAGTAATTGAGGAAATGGAAACCAGTTCATCATGAACAGGTTTCACAAAGCACCCAGATAGGTAACGTGCTTCATTTGTAATGCTCATGAAATCAGCTGCTCTAAGTCAGGGCGACGGACTTTTGTGTACGTTGTAGGACAGCCCTGTTCTTGTGGTGAAAGGCAAGGTGATGTGACAAATGTCATGTGCTAAGAATTCAGAAGAGTGCAGGAGTTGTTAATTCCTTTCATGATTTTCCTCAGGCTCTCTTCTCCAGAACCATGCCAGAGATGACAGAGAATGAGACACCTACTAAGAAGCAACATCGGTGAGTTTCTGGGGGAAAATGACTGTTTTGTAGTTTGGTAGTCTGAGATCATGTTGCACTTATGAAGTTTCCAGCTGAAAGTTTGGCAGTAAGGGTATTGACAAGAAGTTCTGAAGGTTGACTAGGGTTGATCCAAAAGTTCGGGAATTATGGCTGCAAAACTCCCTTTCTCTCTTGCCCTGTCTATGTCAAACTATTTGCAGAAGACTTGTCTCCCTGGGTCACCTGAAAAAAGAGATTCTCTGATTATTACACTGACTACTCTGATGTGTCGCCGCCCTGGTTGGAGTGCAGCCTGTGTTATTGCGGAGGCTCCTGGTAGATATTAGGGGGTAACTGTACTCACTTTGACAGAGTAACTTAGATCTCTTCCTCAGCTCCCAGTGGAATCTGGATCTTACACTCAAACCTCTGCTGGAACTCAAAATACATCTTGAGGTTGTACAGCAACTCTATGACCAAAATTGGTAACAAAGTAACTTGGCACTTATTACAACTTTTCCTGGTTTTCGTTCCTTTTAGTAGCAGGTTGATCTAATTAATATCTGATTGGTAGGGAACTGCTTCAGTCCACAGTTAAATGCAACATTCATCTTATGCTAGGTGACCATGTAGAGTATGATTTATGATTAGGAAAAGCTCAGAGAGAACACTGATTCGTCCTACAGAAAGTTTTTCGGTCTTTATGGATTTTGTGACTCTTTCTTACCCCACTAATAGAGCATTTTGTATTCTGTATTGGTAATGTGAATCAAAGGGCAGCTGGGTCTCTTCAATCCTTATATACTAAATATGTGCATATTTAGTACATATGATCATCTTAGTGGATGTCTCCAGGTCTGACCATCTGCAGTAACACTACTGTCCTGTAATCATTGTCTAAATTACTCTGGATGCCTTCTACTTTTGGTGAGTTACTTGAAATAAAAAGGATACGTGCCTCATAGTAATCACACATCATCCACATGTATCTTGCATTCTCACTTCAGATTCCTTGTTATATCTGGACTGTGCTGTGACAGTCAAAAAGGAGAACAGAAGATCCATCTCTGCTTTGGGCACACATCTAGACTGAGAATGTGCTGCTGGACAGAAATCTTCTAGAAGATTTTCTTTTTCTGGAATGTTTCTTTTTCCAGAAAATAGGTGCTTTGCTTAACTACACTTCCTGAAAGTATTTGTCTTATTTGCATGTATACAGTACTTCTGATTTATATAAGTAGGATACCCATTTGGGATTTATTGACTTCCAGCAGAGCAATCTGAAGCATTACACAGTGATTGTGACCTTCAGGTCGACATCTGAAACCAAAGACAACCCTCACATGCCCAAATTATACCTAGACAGAATTTTGAGACAGTAAAGAACAGCTGCTGAGGAACAGTATTTCTGGTTTCTCTGACAAAGGAAGCATTTTTGATACCAGAAGGTATGATGTTTGAAGATAATAGGGCTAGAAACATGAATTTGCATGGTAACATTTTCTTTCTGTTTTCTGTAATGTAAAAACATCGATCCAGTGAACGTAGAAGCAACATTTCAAACAAATACTTAACTACCTTGTTCCTCAGAAACAGAACTAAGTTTTTTAATATTTGGCTTTATTGAACACTGCCTAGTATAGCAGTTGTTGCTGAACAGAAACATAAAACCCCAGCTTTGCCTATAAATATGTACTAATAATCAAATGGAATATTATGCTGTGCCTTGTTATACTGAAATTGATTTAAGTCTGAACATGAACGAATTTTTGTTAGAAATTATTTAATATCAGTGTCTAAGAACATCATTTTGACTTCTGCTATTTTCTTGTTCACAGAGCAGACTATAATATTTAGTATTTTTGGCTGTAATGGAGATAGTAAATATTTGTTTATATGCAGATTTTTTCCCTTCTGTTTCACATCATTGTTTTCCCTTTATATTTCACAGAAAGAAAAACCGGGAGACACATAATGCAGGTAGAAACATTATACTTTGTTATTTGGTCTGGGAATAAGCGCAGATGTTTTGAACTAGTAAAACGTGTTTTCCATGGAGAAGGTTCCTCCACAGGAGGAGCTACACTTAAAAAAACACCCTGTCAAACACCTTTCAGGGTCCTTGGGTAGAATATCTGTGCAGAAGGGCTTCTTGGTTGTTTCTAGTTGGCTGTTTTCCATAGTAAAATGTTAAAGGTAGGACCATGCCTCTGGCATTCCAATGCTAGTAAATTAAGAAGTAAACAATTTCAGTTGTGTTCAATTCTAAAGGAAAATAAATGCATTGGCATTGACAGCCAACTAATATCCACCTCTCTCAAAACAGAGACGTATCTGACCTGAGAGTTTTGCAGGTTCCCTGGATTAGAAGTATTCCTGTAGCCTGTCACTAAGGCACCCACCTGGATGCTGACATCCCAGAAAATTTGTGCAAATGGGGGCTGTCTCTGTTGCAGGAGTCACATCCCTCAGGCAGCAACTAGTCAGTGTTTAGCTACAACAGCATCTTTTACGAGTATGAACAGAAAGATGGACTGGGGAGGACTCTGACAGATTTGGGCCTGGTTTATCCTAACAAACTGATCACAGTTCTTTCACTAAACAGCATTATTGTGTGTTCTTCACAAACTCAACTGGAAAAAACACTGAGTAGTTTCCATGTAAAGGCTGTGGAATATAGTGCTTGTCAGGCTGTGCTCAGGGTGTGGCCAATTTCTTAAGAATTAAGAAATAGTCTTATCAAGTTTACTTCTGAGTTTGCTGGCCTCATTCTAATTCTCAGTTCCTGATTTACTTGCCTATAGCTTTCCAAAATCTTTATTTACTGAGCTGAACTCTGCAAGATGTGGGGACCAGTTCCCTCCAGCCATATAGCTTGCTTAGTCATTAATATCTGGACAAGCTGCCATACAAGAGTATGGCAAATATCAAACAGAAGAGTAGCACTTCACAATCACTGTGATGTCTGTATGTATTAGTAAGACATATAATAACTATGTCCCAGGTATCATATGTTCAAATGTTTATACAGCTGCTGTAATTTATACAGTAGATTTCTTGCATAAGAGGCTTTGTCTTGCTGTGTTTAGTGTATTTAGGCCTGTCTCTGTCAACGCCATCAGTCTGTCCTGAAATACAAAAAAAATAATTTAATTGTTTGAGAAATGTAAACTGAAGTGACAGTCTACTGGAATAAAACTGTTTAAATTAAGTTAATATGTCCTTTGTAAAGGATCAAAATGAAATACAGTCACCTGCAGGTCACTGTGTGACAGTGACAGGTTTCTGTGCTCCACCAAGAGTAGCCCAACTGCACGAACCACAAGGTTTGTTCAGCACAATGAACATTGGTTTGAATCTTGACAAAGCCATAACAGAACCTTTTTTCTGGCTTTTTTGAGAAGAGACATCTAATAGTTTTAGTTCATGTAGAACATGAAAACATTTCAGTCAAAAAAAAAAATCTACTTGACAGTGAACTGTGTTTGGAAGAGGCTGACTATGGTGGATAGAAAACAAAGATTAATACTACCTGAAAAAAACATACCCAAAGGTAGCTACACTCCTAGACTTATAGTGTAGACACTTTATGGCACTGTTCAAGCCTTGTGAAGAGGTAAATGACTATAAACGAAGCATTTTCTGGCCTTCTTCAAACTAGGTAGAGTAACTGGTAGACCATATACCTAGAGCTTCAGCTATGATTAATGTTGGCTTCTCCATCAATATAAATTTAAAATTAATACTGAAGGCTAATAAAATCCAAGTTATTTCTCCTTTTATGCTAAACTCGACTTCAGTATTTAAGAGATATGGGTTTTTTTCCCAAACCTGAAACTAATTCTTTCCATAATCTTGGTTCACATGCTTTCTGCATGCCTAAATTTAATCAATCTGACTTGTGAAAAAAGTGGGAGGAAACTCAGTTAGAAAGCAGTACCAAAACCTGAATTTTGAGTTGCAGTAACTCTTCTTTTCCATGAAGGGGTCCAGAATGTTCCCACCTTTTAAAGATAATGCTGCTTATGTTATAGTTCTCAATTCCACTGAGCATTAATTAACTGAGGCTTACTTTAGTGGAATTTTTTCCTCTCAAGTTACTACAGGTTTCAATGTGCAATGAAAAAATGTATTTATGAGCCCTTAACATTGTACTAGTTGTGCTGCTGTTATGCTGACTTGCCCAACCAGATGACACAGTACATATTATGTTTGGTTAGTGGAGAGACATCGAAAGAAGAAGATTAATGCTGGAATAAACAGAATTGGAGAACTCATTCCCTGCTCTCCAGCACTTAAGCAGGTGAGTGTCCACCCAGAGGTGCATACAGGCTTTCCTGTAAAATGCTCAAGTGTTTCTTTGTCTGTAGAATTATAAATACATATTGGGCCATTTGTCTTATGAAGAAGGTAAAACTGTCTGAATTAATATTCTCAAAAAAATCACTAGCTATATTAAAAAACCTATTTGTAATAGAATTCCTTTTTGCAAGTGCACGGTCGTGTTAATGTAATTACACAGATTTTCAGTGTTTTATGTGGCAGTGTTGTATATGACTGCTGAAGGAACGAAACAGTATGAGATGGATGTGTGACTGGATGTGTTTCTCCTCAACTCATAAATGCAGTATTTCCTCTGTAGAAGGGGTGACAGGCTGGGCAGAAGTGGGTTAGATCAGGTCAGGGGGTTGCTGGTTACATTGTGCAACTCCTGTTTGTGAAGCCAGTTTCTACTGATGCTGTTGAATGTAGTCTGTGTGATGACTGAGTGGTGAAAGCTATGGATTAAGCAAGATCTCTTTTCAGGTCATTCTCCAATCCCTGCTCAGCCCTTTGCAGGTGATCACTTTAATGTCATAAGATGTCAATAGAATTCCATGCATGCTTATTTTTGTCATCTTTGATATAATGGGATGAAAGCAATTCAGAAACTGAAATAATAGTAGTAATTTAAGACACTGTCCTTGTGAAAGATGAAGCAAGAAAAATGGTTTGAGGTTGATGCACAGAAGCATCTTTTTCAAAGACAAAGCTATCTCCAGCAGAGACTGTTCCTACTGAACAGTAGAAGAAATTAAGGAGTGAACAAAGGCCTTGCAGGCAGAATAAGCATAGTTTCATAAAAAGATGATGGTGGAGGGGTTATTTTCTCTTCCCATATTTTCCGGTATATTACTTTCAAAATTATGCATATATCTCCCTGGGTAGTTGTTCCATGTTTGTTTCTTTCCTAATAAAATATTTACAAGACAGTATCCTGGAAATTTCATGTGATATATGCATTTATTAGTGAATACAAATTTTAGGCCGATCTGCAAGAAGTGATTGCTGGCTGTTCAGGTTCTGTGGCCATAGTATCTACCTTTGGGCATCAGAAAATGTCAGCTCCAGCACTGAAAATGTTATTTTGTAAAAACTCACAGCATTTTAGGGTCAGTGTCACTCATGAAACCTGTAGTTCATCTTAAAAAAAAAAAAAAAGAAAAAAACCGAACAAAACAAGACAAAAATAAAACCCAAACCAAAACAAAAACAAACAAAAAAGCCCCAAAACAAAACAAATCCTACCCAGCCATAAAGAGTCATTCAAGGTAGCACATTTTTAAAGTAAAGACCTTGGAGCAAATGCTGTCTCATCAGTATTGGATCTACCAATTCTAGACCTTTCTCCTAATTTTATACGTATGTTTTCTTTTAAAGAGCAAGAACATGATCCTGGATCAGGCCTTTAAGTACATAACAGAAATGAAAAGACAGAATGATGAGCTGCTATTAAATGGAGGGAACAATGAACAGGGTAAGTACAGATGCTGCTGGAGTCTCTAGAACTTCTGTCACTCACTTCCACTGTGTCTCTGTACTGACTAACAAAGCCTGGATCAACAAACGGGAATCCCAAGACATTTTGCACATACAGGAAAAATAACAGCTGCTTAGCATATCTTGAAACAAAAAGCCAACAGAATGCCCAAGTGATTGTTTTTGCATGTAGCTGTGAAATAATGAAACAATTGCATTGTGGAGTAGTTACAGAGTTTATAGGTGATGTGACATCATCTAGTAACTCCTGTCCCAGTTTATGCTACTGTAGTGACCAGAATGATTTCTGACAAACTTTGTTAGATTTTTTTCATCCAAAACGTGGACTTTCCTCTGTTTATAGAGCTTTTTTGTTTTCTTTCAAAAGCTGTAGAAGTTGTAGTGACCCATTTCCTAAAAATACAATGCATCATATAAAATCTTCTTGAACGGATATGTAAAAGTACAGTGATGAAGGTATGACAGAAATAATCTCAAAGCTAATGTTGTGGTTTGTGATTTTTTTTTTCTACCCATAGAATGGAATTCTAAATAGTTTATTTTTATCTTTTTAATATAATTAGATTTGGAAAACCTAGGTGGTTTTCTTAGTTAGGTGAGCCTTCTCCCAAGTGTGTTGCCAGTTTTTATGGATTTACACAAGTGCCTTGTATTAAATTTTGCTTACAATTTTTAGATGTAACAGAACTTAATTCTCCTGGAAAGCCATGAGATTACCAATTAAATAAAAACAGTGTTCGTCTTTGCAAAAGAGTAGGGAAAAGAAAAATATTAATGTGCTTGTCTTTCCTTCAGCAATTAAATAATTTTGTTTAGTGTTCAGTTTCATCTGAGTTAGTCCTGAAGTTTTTTCTGAGTAAGTAATGTGACATACCCTGCTGTTGGTAATGGGATAATCTGTGAAGTTCATTCACTTTCCCACTTAGTAGAGAGGCTTATCAGGATAAGAGTCTTCACTTAAATTATGTTAACCATCTGAAGAGAGCATACATTATTAACAACTTATTCAATTTATTTCAATGATTTATTTCATTACTACACAGTATTTACTCTCTAAGTCATGTGGTAACATTATTTCATTATTTGTTCTGCTGCTGATGTAATGGAGTGCTCTCACTGTTTTGTAGCTGAAGAGATAAAAAAACTCCGGAAACAGTTGGATGAACTGCAAAAAGAAAACGGGAGATACATCGAACTACTGAAAGCAAATGATATTTGCCTGTATGATGACCCTACGATCCACTGGAAAGGAAATCTCAAAAATGCAAAGGTCTCAGTTGTTATTCCCAGTGATCAGGTTCAAAAGAACATCATTGTCTATTCTAATGGGAGTCAACCCAATGGAAATAACCAAGGAGCACCTGTCCAGGGAATAACGTTTAATGTTGGTCATAATTTACAAAAGCAAACAGCCAATGTTGTGCCAGTTCAGAGAACTTGCAACATAGTGACTCCTGTGACGATTGCTGGTATTTATCCCACAGAAAATAAGCCATGGTCTCAGCCTACAGTTTCTCCGCTGGCATCTGCTCAGGCAGCTCCAGCAGGGCACATTCTTGAGCTTTCCACTCCGGAGAATGAGCAAGGTGTGCTCACCACTGCTGCTGCGAGCTCACAGAGTGCATCTCAGTCTGGGACAGAACAGGAATTACAGTGTTCTTCAAGTAATGCACCACAGAATGATCAAAATCTCCCCAAAAGTAAAAATAATGAGGAGGTCACTAAACCAACAAAGAAAACACTCCTGCAGGGAATCAGCCTTCCTTCCAGTGCCTCTGTGGAAGCCTCCCAAGTTCAACAGGTGAATGCAACTTGCTCAAATACAAACAATTCCAGTGACCTCCAGGAAAGCTGTGTCATTTCAGCCACAGACACAGCTTGTGTGCCACCTGTGAGACTGTCTACTGCAGATAGCTCTTCCTCTGTAAATGTCCTGAAAAGCACAGATGTAGTGAGCAGTGCTGGAGTGCCTGCGACTTCTGCAGCAGAAGGAGTTAATAAGGCTGTGACGGCAATAAGCACTCTGGCTGCCAGTCCCTTAGAGAACTGCTGGTCTTTTTCAGGCTCTTCAGGTGTTGGCACTTCAGACTTGAAAAACATGAGTAGCCTTACACGGATGCCTTCAACTGGAAACACGCAGACCACGTGGACCACTTTGCAGCTGGCGGGAAATACTGTCCAGCCACTAAGCCAAACGCCATCTGGTATAATGACTGCACTACTAAACGAGCCAGTTAATGGTGCTGGTACTGTGTCTTCTGCTCAGAGCAGGCCTTTGACTACCAGTATCAGTTTGAATGCTTCTCTGCCTGGGGATGGCCAGGCAGCTGAACAGATTGTGGTTACCTTGCCCTCATGCCCACCCTTACCTATGCAGCCTTTAATCAGCCAGCCACAGGTTAAAACTCAGGCTGCAGGAAATATCCTTCCATTAAATTCAGCTATGCAGGTGATTCAGATGGCTCAGCCAGTCGCGTCAGCTGTTACAGGAGCACCAGCTAACCAGAATGTCATCATTCTCCAGCCTCCAAACCCCACTCCGTGCCCTCCGATTGTGAGAGCGGAAGTTCCCAGCCAAAACGTTAGTCAGCAAATTGTAATTATACAGGCTGCTAATCAGAATCCTCTTCCTCTCCTGTCTGCTCAGCCTTCTGCTTCTGTAAGAGTTCCTGTAAACGGGCCGACTGCAGTCGCAAACTCTAGCAGCTCCATGCAAAATGCTTCTCTTCCACAGACTTTTGGAGGGAAACACCTTGTCCATATATTACCAAGACCATCTTCTTTGCCATCTTCTAGCTCTACGCAAACATTTTCAGTTACAATGTCCAGTCAACAGCATCCTCAGACTATCTCATTAAATGGGCAGCTTTTTGCATTGCAGCCTGTGATGTCCTCATCTGGAGCTTCAAATCAAGCCCCTATGCAAATTATTCAACCCACCACCAGCGAAGACCCAAATACCAATGTTGCCCTCAACACATTTGGTGCTTTAGCCAACCTCAATCAAAGCATATCGCAGATGGCTGGGCAGAGCTGCTTACACTTGTCTCTCAGCCACCCCACCAATCCCGCAACCATCAATAACCAGATTGCCACAGTTAATTGTGTGTCATTACCAACTTCTGTGGCATCTTCAGTGCCTGCAGAGGTTTCAGTACTAACCAGTGCATCCAATTCAATAAATGCTTCCCCCAAAAAGCCATCTGCTGGCTTGCCATCCAGTGCAAAATCAAAAAGGACAAACAAAAAGCCGAGTACGAAGAAACAGCAAGCAGTCAATAATAAAGTGTCTTGCCCAGCAGTTCCTTGCAAAGATGCAGGGAAGGTGGACTGTGTTCCTGTGGAAACAGTGGCAAAGCATTCAAATGGTGAAGGGCTGCTTGAAAACACTCCAGCAGTATCTCAAGCTGTAACTACGTCACAGGCAAGCGGTGTGGCAGCATCGAGTGGTGTCAGCATTTCTGACTCTCATTCCAAAGAGACTGCAAGCTCTGAACAGGCAGTGAAAATGCCCTCTGTTCCCGAGCTGAGCTCGGCAGAGGCACCTGCTTCTTCACCACTGGAGTCCGTGGTGCCAGAGCAGCTGCCACTTGTCCCATCGGCTCCCAAAGATGCTGCTCCTCGCCAGCAGGCACCTGGGCCTCAGAACCACCCACCAACTGTCTCTGCCTTGTCGGAGTCTCCCAAACCTTGTGAACCCCCCAGCACCTTAACATCCTCTTGCAGTGAAGCACAGGTGACACATTCTCAGGTTGCTGGGACATCAGCAGCACAGAGCAGCACAGCAAGTTCCAAGGCAGGAATGATTTCGGAATCTTGCAACATTGAGGAGGATTCTTCAGTGGTAATGCAAGATGCAGACTTGTTAGAAGGACAGGGTCTAACCAAAATGCTGTCTGATCTCACAAAAGAAAGAACAGCTGTGGAAAAAACCTCTTCATTTACTGTTCAGGGCGAGCATTCTAATTTTCCTATGGAAAACTCCAAATCAGCAGAATCAAATGTTGATTTGCCCGAGAAGCAGGAACTCTTGCTAATGAACTCTGAAGGTGACACTCTCTCCCAGCATCACTCATGCATCTCTGATCCAGAAGTAGTCAGTGCTTCCCTTATTGCTAGCAGGCAGGCAGACTCCCCGATGTCAACCAGCTCTGGCAGCAGTCGAGGCTTCTCAGTTGCATCTATGTTGCCAGACACCACCAGAGAAGATGTCACAAGCAGCACATCAACCAGTACCTGTAACAGCTGCACATTTTCAGAACAGACTGACATTGTAGCTCTTGCAGCCAGAGCTATTTTTGACCAGGAAAACCTTGAGAAAGGTGGAGGAGGAATACAGGTTAACACGAGGGATGCTGTCTCTAAGTCAGCTGAGGTTGCACCGCTGGAGAGAGAGCAACAGCCTTTTAAACCTCAGTCAGTGAAAGAAAACAATGCAGGGCCGTTGGAAGCGGCACCAAACAAATTTGGTGCCCACGATACAGCACCAGCAAATGTTGATAGGCAGGTTGAAAAGCCAAGCTGCTCCGTAGGAGGTGTGGAAACATCGAACCCTTCTTTGCAGATTTCCACCTCCCAGACACCAAGCATAACCAGTCTAAGCGTCAATAATCTAATACACCAGAGTCGCATTGTCCATCCCCTGGTGAGTTGCTCAAGTTTATCCCAGCCTTCAGAGCCTGCAAGTGTCCCTGCAACTGTGAGCCTCTCCCTTCCATCTAGCACGTATATCAATCAGTCTCCAGGACCCGCTATGATGAGTGAATATGCTCAGGAACAACTGAATGCCATTAGGGCAAGCACCATGCAGGCTCCCCAGCTGCAGGAGTCACACTTAAAGCATCAAAGTCATGAAGGTCGCAAAGACTCAGCCAAGCGGGCCGTTCAAGATGACCTTCTGCTTTCTACAGCAAAGAGGCAAAAGCAGTGCCAGACAGCACCCATAAGGCTTGAGGGGATGGCATTGATGAACCGGACACCAGAGAGTATTGCTGATCAAACACAGATGCTGGTCAGTCAGATTCCTCCTAATTCTTCCAATTCGGTAGTGTCAGTAAGCAATCAAGGACACGCTGATGGTCTCAATAGGTTATTTCCATCCAATAGCAATTTTGTAACACCAGCTTTGAGGCAAACTGAGGTTCAGTGTGGTTCTCAGCCATCAATTTCAGAGCAGCCGGGCCAGTCAGGGCAGCACTTGCAGCCAATTCAACACGTTCCTTCTCAAGGCATCTCTCACCTTCACAGTAATCACCCATACTTAAAGCAACAGCAGGCTGGTCAGTTAAGAGAGAGGCACCACTTGTATCAGCTGCAGCACCACGTCACTCACGGGGAAAACTCAGTTCACTCTCAACCCCACAGTGTCCACCAACAGCGAACAATCCAGCAGGAGGTGCAGATGCAAAAGAAAAGGAATCTCATCCAGGGAACACAAGCCACACAGCTTTCCCTACAGCAGAAACACCATGGAAGTGATCAAACACGGCAAAAGGGTGGTCAGCCTCATCCTCACCACCAACAAATGCAGCAGCAGATGCAGCAGCATTTCGGAGCTTCCCAGCCTGAAAAGAACTGTGAAAATCCTGCAACAAGCAGAAACCACCATAACCACCCCCAGAGCCATATTAATCAGGATATTATGCATCAGCAGCAACAAGATGTTAGCAGCAGGCAGCAAGGTTCCGCTTCTGAACATGTTTCAGGGCACAATCAGATGCAAAGACTTATGACCTCAAGGGGCTTAGAGCAGCAAATGGTGTCCCAGGCAAGCATTGTAACCAGACCATCAGATATGGCATGCACCCCTCACAGGCAGGAAAGAAACAGAGTTTCCAGCTACTCTGCTGAGGCCCTCATTGGGAAAACGCCCTCTAATTCAGAGCAGAGAATAGGAATATCTCTTCAAGGCCCTAGGGTTTCTGACCAGCTTGAAATGAGAAGTTATCTTGATGTTTCTAGAAATAAGGGGTTGGCAATTCATAATATGCAGGGCCGCTTATCTGTTGACCACACAGTTGGCTCAGATGTGCAGCGTCTTTCTGATTGCCAAACATTTAAGCCCACTGGACCCAATCAACAACCAACGGGCAATTTCGATGTTCAGGCTTCAAGAAACAGTGAAATTGGCAATTCTGTGTCATCCCTCAGGGGCATGCAGTCGCAAGCGTTCCGAATCGGTCAAAATACTGGGCCTTCCATAGAGAGACAGAAGAGACTGCCCTACCAGCCAGTACAGGGTATTCCAACGGGGAATACACTGCCATCAAGGGAAAATGAAAACACGTGCCACCAAAGTTTCATGCAGAGTTTGCTCGCCCCTCACCTTGGAGATCAAGTTAGTGGAAGCCAAAGATCAATCCCAGAGCATCAAAGGAACACACAGTGTGGCGCCTCCTCCACAATAGAGTACAACTGTCCCCCAGCGCGAGAGAGCGTCCACATCCGAAGAGACGGTGATGGCCAGAGTAGGGAAAGCTGTGACATGTCTATCGGGGCAATTAACACAAGGAACAGTTCTTTGACTATTCCTTTTTCGAGTTCTTCTTCCTCGGGAGATATTCAGGGTCGCAATACAAGCCCAAACATCTCTGTGCAGAAGTCCAATCCCATGAGGATGACGGACAGTCACGGAACTAAGAGCCACATGAATACGCCCGTTTCTAGCAACATGCATGGAGTCGTGAGGCCAACTCACCCTCACCCTGCAGTTTCTCACGGAAATGGTGAGCAAGGGCAGCCTTCTGTTCGTCAGCCAAATTCTTCAGTTACTCAGCGGTCAAGACATCCTCTGCAAGACAATGGAGGTTCTAAAATACGTCAACCTGAAAGGAATCGATCTGGAAATCAAAGACATGGAAATGTTTTTGACCCTAGTCTTCCCCATCTTCCCCTGTCCACCAGTGGCAGTATGATCCTTGGGCGCCAGCAGTCCGCAATAGAAAAAAGAGGAAGCATTGTCCGATTTATGTCTGATGGCCCTCAAGTGTCTAACGATAACGCAGCCCCTGACCAACATACTCTCCCTCAGAATTTTGGATTCCCTTTTATTCCAGAGGGTGGCATGAATCCACCAATAAATGCCAACGCCTCTTTCATCCCACCAGTCACTCAGCCTAGTGCCACTCGAACACCAGCTCTAATCCCAGTTGATCCTCAGAATACACTGCCATCCTTCTATCCACCTTACTCTCCTGCCCACCCTACCCTCTCCAATGACATTTCTATCCCTTACTTTCCCAATCAAATGTTTCCTAACCCAAGCACAGAGAAGCCAAGTAGTGGAAGTTTAAATAATCGATTTGGATCCATTTTGTCTCCTCCCAGGCCTGTTGGTTTTGCTCAGCCAAGTTTTCCTTTGCTTCCAGATATGCCGCCAATGCACATGACCAACACGTCGCACTTATCCAATTTTAACTTAACGTCTTTGTTTCCAGAAATAGCCACAGCTCTTCCTCCAGATGGTTCAGCAATGTCGCCTTTGCTTTCCATTGCAAACACATCTGCTTCAGATTCTTCCAAGCAGTCCTCAAACCGACCTGCACACAACATAAGCCATATTTTAGGTCATGACTGCAGCTCAGCTGTATGAAAACCAATAGACTGACTTCTAGTCTGATGCGTTGTTTATATATTTAAGAAGAAGAGAGTGGAGACCATTCATAGCATCACTGTTTATTTGCCTAAATGTATGTATATGGGTACTTTCTGTATTTATATACATGTTGTATTTCCACCCACCTTACTAACTCTAAAGCACCAGTGCCTAAAGCAATGCTTACTTACTAGTAAACAGTAAGGATGCAACATCAAGAGCTGTGCAAATATTGGTTGTTGATTTTCCAACAATCAAGTTTGATGTCCGATTGTTCCAAGGTAAGGGCCGCCCTCAGTAATACATGGATGTAAAGAAAGGAGTGAGAGCATCCGTACGGGAGAGAGGAAACAAGTGCTACAGGTGTCAGTTTGTTTCTGATACGTTTACCTGAAACTGCAGAGGAACTTGAAGTGGCTTGGGTTTCTCTGCTGTAAAATATCTTCAGGAGCCTCAACACGAGTCAAGTCTGTGTTAACCCAGTGTTAATTGAAAAAGGCATTTGTTGTGCAGCTTTTGTCTGTTTTAAGCTTGCCATATGCACTTGATTTAAAGCTGACTTTACCTGGTTAAAATTACTATGTGTTCACATGGTCAGCAGTTTAAAATACTGTTTTAGAAAATTCAGATCTCTTTAACCCATAACTTTCCATTTCTAAGAAGAATTTGCTTGGATCTGTTTTAACAGTGGCCTCAGTTACTGCTGAACTCAGTCAACGTTTTAACGTAACTTACGACTCTTTCTGGTGCAGTCAGCAGAGACAGCAGCTGTGTTTGTTGCTATTTCATTGTTCATTGCCGCAGGTTACCTCAGGGTGTGTTCTGTACCTTGGTTAGCACCTTCTTAATGTCCTTTTCTTTTTTCCCCCCTCTCCTTTTCTTTGGCCCATGCTCAAACACCAGCTTTCTGGTTTCTGTGAGTGACAGCCCAACAGCCCTTTGTTGTACCAGGCAGCACATGGGAGGAGGACTGAGCTTATGGCATCCCACAAAATGAGTGGGGATCCTTGGGGGGCAGTGTTCACTGGATATTGCTGACCGGATCGAGCCCGAGTTATTATCAGTACTCTGCACTTGAATGCACCTTTTATCTAAACCTGTGTGATTGTGGCTGAAGGAGGAACATGGATGTGTCGAGAGTGAAACATACCAGGAAGACATTGGGATTTGTGCACCACAAGGAAGGACAATGTGTTTGTTCATGTGTGAGATATGGAGTGAATGTGTGTGCACTGGCTGAGTCTCCAGTATTTTCACAAATTTCAGTCCCATTTCTTTTAAAGGAAAGGGAAGAGCTAGGTAAATTGTATTTATTTAATGGATCTGCACTGTGCTTTTTCTTCAAACAAGGCAGAAATATTTGTCTTTTTATGTGCTTGGAAAAAAACATTCTGCATTTGATTCTTCAAATAACATAGTAACTTCAGGTTCCCTTGTATGCAGTCCTTCCCCTACCAGCTGCAGAGTGACAAAACCTGCTCCAGGGCCTCTCCTCTGGGCAGGGTAAGCTTGAAATGCTTGTGTGTTGCCCACCAGCACATTGTCTTGCTGCTCCTGGGACCTGTCACAGGCACCTGGTGAGGGCATGGGGAGGCGCAGGCTCCCTGGGATTTTGTTTTATTATGGTTTGGGGTTTTTTTCTTTGAAAGGTGGAAAGGAAGATATTCCTCCATCTCTTAAGAACAGGACGCTCAAAGACAGACCCGAAACATTTTTCCATAGATTGACTTCCCAGATGTTGTTTTTGCTAAGCCCTTTTCCACTGGTCCAGAAAAGTAAGGAGGCTTTGACATGAAAAATAATTGGGCTTTGTCAGTAGTCTGTCCTAACAGTGTCTCTGCTCTTGTAACCTGTGGTCTGATGTTTTCCTGCAAGGTGAAGTAAAATGGTTCTGATTCTGATTGGGAATCACTTTTTAATTCAGATGGAGCTTATCTTAGGACACTAAATCTAAGTGGTGCATCAGTTCTCTGTGTTTCTTAAAAATAATAGATTGCATATTTATTTCAGTTCACGGCTTATCTCTGCCTAGGTGTAGTTACCAATGGAGTGGCAGCCACTGGGCTGTGCAGAGAGCAGGAAGGTTAGGAATGAGTCGGTCCTCAGGCTCAAGCTGACTAAGCCAACTGCAGGTCTGGGTGTTCTGTGGTGAGACCCTTGATCAAACTGATTTCCTTAATGCAGTAGCTCTCAAAGGGGCTGCCTCAGCTGGTGAAATGAGTTCCATAACAGTGAGTGGTTCCATGGTTTCTGGATGATAAATACACGGGGATCAAAGCAGCAGCCACACTGTGCGTTACATGTTTGTCTGGACTCTGAGGAGGGAAGCAAACCCGCCGTTCTTGCTCTCTTCAAATGGCATTGTGTGTGCAGTGGTGGGTTTGGCTTTCAAGACAAACTAGTGAAAAATTAAGCCCTGGCTTCTTTATATATAAAGATGCTAATCCTTCTCATTCCAAACATTCACACAGTACCACATTAGTTTTCTCTGCTGGGAAAACTACATTACTTCATATCTGTGAAAACTGGAAGGACCTTATCAACTTATACCTGTTGCAACACTTCAATGTCCACAGATCCATTTGGCTGGATAGGATTCATTCCAGAGTACTGAAGAAGCAATCAGGACATATGGCAGGACCCTACTTGATCATCTACCAAAGGTCTGGGGAGGTCCCTACTGACAGGAAGGTAGCCAACCTTATTCTAATGTGTAGAAAGGGTATGAGGGAAGAACCCAGGGAAGTACAGACTGTGAGTCTAACTGCAGTTCCTGGGAAAATTATGGAGATTATACCGGGTACTGTTGAAACGAGTTTAAAGAATAATGCAGTCATCAGGCACAGTCAGCATGGGTTCACAAAGGGAAAGTCCTATCCAGCCAATTTGATATCCTTTTATGATAAGGTCACCCGCTTAGTGGGTGAACAGAAAGTGGGGCATGGAATGTTTCTGGATTTTAGCAAGGCTTTTGATACCATCCCTCACAGCATCCATCTGGACAAGCTGTCCAGCTGTGGGATGAGCAGGTTCATGGTGTGCTGGGTGAAGAATGGGCTGAAGGGCAGAGCTCAAAGGGCTGTAGTGAATGGCGCTAGATCTGGCTGATGAACAGCCACCAGCAGTGTTCCTAAGGGCTCAGTTCCAGGGGTAGTCCTGTCCAATGTATTTATCACTGATCTGGATGTAGGAGTTGAACACACCATTGGCAGGTTTGCTGATGATACCAAACTGAGAGGAGCTGTTGACAGATGCTTTGCAGAGGGATCTGAATAGACTGGAGCCTTGGACTGTGACTAATGGGATGAAATTTAATAAGTTCAAGTGCCAGATTCTGCACATGGGACAAAGTAACACCAGGCACAAGTATAAATAGGGAGAGGAGTAGCTGGAGAGCGCCCTGCAGAGCGGGCCCTGGGGGTGCTGGTGGGCAGCAGCTCAGTGTGAGTCAGCAGTGTGTGCCCGGGCAGCCCCAAGGGAAAACCTGGCAAATCCTGGGGAGCATCAAACATGGCATCATCAGCCAGTCAGAGGGAGGGGAACATCCCACTGTGCTCAGTGCTGGTGTGGCCTCACATGGAGTGCTGGGTGCAGTTCTGAGCTTCACCATTTCAGAGGGGTGTGAAGGTCCTGGAATGAATCCAAAGGAACACAAAGCTGGTGGAAGGGCTGGCAGGTGTGTCCTGTGAGGAGCAGCTGAAGGCTCTGGGCTTGTCTGCTTTGGAGAGACAGAGACTCAGGCTCAACCTTATCACTCTGTGCAGCTCCCTGAGGAGAACAGAGGGAGGTGCTGATCCCTTCTCCCTGGGATCTATCGACAGGACACATGGGAATGACTCAAAGGGGCAACAAGGGAGGTTCAGACTGGACATCAGGAAGGGTGGTCAGACAGTGGAACAGGCTTCCTGGAGAGGTGGTCGATGTCCCAAGCCATCGCTGTTTAAGAGGCATTTGGACAATGCCCTTAACAACATGCTTTGACTTCTGGTCAGCCCTGAAGGGATCAGGCAGTTGGACTATTCTATTCTCTTATTCCTTTATGTTGATTTCACTATTAATTTTACTGGTGGTGTGTCAAGGTTAAATGCAATCCTGAGTATTCGTGATAGAATATGTCAGCTGTGGTTTTGTTTTGGTTTCTTCATGCTGTACATCATTTCTGAAGCAGTAACTGTGTCAGTAACTTTCACCCTTTTCTGTTTACAAAGATGACCAAAAATAGCACCCTTGTTCACAGGACACCTGTAGTGCAGGTAGTCGCAGCATGGGCATTCCAACCATATGAAGACTATTGCCATTTTGCAGGAACTGCACAATTTTGTGGTGTGTGGCTCAAAAGTAACTACTGTGTGACCCTTGGTCTTCTCCAGAGGATTGTACCTTGCAGTGTTGACAGGGCATGGCGATTCCTGTGTAGTCACCACACCACTTTGTCATCCTTCTCAGGGCTTTTTCTGAACCCTGCCGAGACCAGGATGGAGAAATATTTCATTCCCCTCCTTGAACATGGCAATTTCTGTTGAAGTTCAACCACATACCTGTGTGAGTCTTTTTACATGCCATAAGTGATGCTAAATGATCCTGTGGCCCTGGTGTGGGATCAGGAAGACTACTGTGAAGAGAAAGGTAGGCAGACCACTCACTGAGAGCTTTGTATGAACACATTCGTCCAAATTCTGGTATTTGCGCTGCAGACTGGCTTTTAGATAACTTTATTAAAGAAAGATTGGCTCTGTTGTGCAGTCTTTTGGTCTAATTGCCTGTCCAAGATGGGCTTTGAATGCTGAATCTGACCTGGTCCGCTGGTTTGAGATCAGCCTGTGCATTTCAGCTTCTCACATGCTCATTCTCTTTTGCCTTCAGGAAGAACAGTGGAGGGACTGGATATTTCACATCAAAAGAGAGGGAATTAGATGTTAAGTAATTTCTGTTAAATTTTAATTATTAAATTGCTTTGGGTTTTTTCCTTGTCACCATAAATTAATCCCACCTGCCATTCCATATCAACCAGCCTTCTTGCACTTAGTTGTGAAGGTCAGTTTGTGCCACTGACAGGTCAGTGGCTCAGTTCCTCTCGCAGGGCTCTGCTCTCGGGAAGAGGAGCGATTGCAACATCTTTACCATGGAGTGGAAACAATTGCTTCTTTATTTTTCCTTTCTCCTACCCTTGAACCTGTTGTGTTTAGCTATCGGGTTGATAACGCTCGTTTTACCTCAATCTGTGCCTGGGAGAGTAGTTTGAAAAAGGAGCTTCTGTAAGTTTTGCAGATTGAATGATTTTGTTTTACTTGTTATAACAATTTGATAAGCAAATACATGTTCTTCAGCAAACATCTATGACAACAGTTATTTACCTTTTTCTCCTAAGAATTACCTGTTCCCTTGGTTTTCAAGATATATTTGTAAAAGACTATACTTGGAAAAGTTGCAATTTGTTAGCCTGAGAATGCCATTTTCTCTTCCATAATATGTTTTTGAAGGTTACTTATATTAAGACGGGGTTTTTGTTTTGGCTTTGAAGGAAGGAAAAATACTCAGTATTGCTTAATTTAGCAAAATAAGCAGTGGAAGGGAAAGGTTGGGCACTACCTCTGGGGTGAGACTGCCACAGCTGACAAGCATTGTGTGGCTGTGGCTTTCAGCTTGGCCTAAATGACTTCAACAAATAGTACTGGGCTGGATTGCATGTATGTCAGTGTAGTCCATGATCAATCCCTTACGCAGCCTAGGAATAAGAACAGAGACCGGCTAAGTTGAAAGCAGGCAATAAAATAGTATTAATACTGCATTAATATTTATACACCTTTTCATTAAGAGAAAAGACCTCATTTAAGAACAGCTAAGGGAAATGAGAACTGAAGTGATTTGAGCTGGTGGCCGAGCCGTACTGGAATGGGTTTTCCAGCTCCTGCTCCCAGCTCCAGTCACTATGCTGCTGCCCAGGTGGAAGAGCACCTCTCTGAAAAAAAGTAAATACTGTGCTAGTCCAGAGCCTCCTGAATTTTGCACAGATTTCCTACTGCACTTTAAAGCTGCGCTGGTGCTGCTGTGGTTGGTGACTGTAGTGCTGTTGCAGAAAACAGATTGTGTGGCAGGGCAACGGTAGAGGGCATTGCTGGAGAAAATGGGCCATTTAATTACTTCCGGTCTCCTGTTGTCTTTTTACGTTATTCTGAGGTACTTGTGCAGCCCTGGCTCAAGGACTCCGTCACATACTCATGCTGTTTCTGGATGACTGAGTGTAGTCAGCTGTGCTAAGAGCTTTTGCCATTCCCCTAATAAGTTTCATGCTCATCACTTTAATAATGATCCCACTTTAACTGGCAAGACAGAATAGCATTGAGTCTATTTATAACAAATCAGTCAAATTTGGGTTGTTTTCTGATACAGTGCTATAAGGAGCTCCACTCTTTATCATCACCTGGCCTGTTATTGTCCACCACTGGTCCTTTCTCCCACTGCCATGATCCAGCATGGGTAGCAGTCTCATGGACAAGAGTGCCAGTGCAGAGACAGGTTTGCGTGTGAAGGTGTTTTCAACTTCTACTGCCTCTGCAATACCAAGTAAATCTAAAACCTCAGAGCACCAACACTTTATTGCCACTAGTTACACTGAGAGCAAGTTACTCTATGAACTGGTGAAAGATGCAGTGGAGTTTTTTGGTCATGACAATACAAATTCATATTCTCTCTGCGAACAAACTCTGCTTAGTTACACAAAAGCCATTTATTACATACTGATACCAGTTTTTATGAGATAAATTAAAAAAAAGGCATTTCTTTCTGCCACACCAAAATTATCTTTACAAGCAGGTTTCCAAGTTTGCAATATGTGCTGCTGTTCCAGCAATCACAAGTGTGAAACAGTGGAGCTCATGGTGGGTTGGGCCCTGTTCCTGCCTGCTCACTGTGAGAAGGGAAGCAAATACGGATTTTGCCACAGGAGATTAATCAAAGATGCTGTTGCCCTCCACAGTGTAAATTATTTATATTCAGTCCAGAGTTTTCTGCTGTGCTTCTGTTTTATACAGCTGTAAATGACTTGGATACAGTCCCAGTGGAAAGTCCTTACTATTTTGTAATGGAAAAAAGGAACTCTGCAGTAGAAATCTATAATGAATGAACAGGAACATCATCTTCCAATTGTAAATAAGATCTTGCTCTGTTTATTTTGACATCTTTTTACAAATGTGTTACATTCAGGTGTAAATATCCCAAACCATGATCTTGTTCAGAGTTCTGAGATTTCTATTGTTAAATGTAATACTTTGTTTAATAGTTGTAATAATTATTTGTATAGATATGAACATAATAGTATTTTATTAAAAAAAAGAGAAAAACTCTTTGGATACTGTGTTCTTGTTGATACAGTTTCTTTCCACATGGAAAGTCATGCCATTCACTCTTCAAGAGAGGCAAAAATAACAGTTTTGGGAATTTACAGTTACAGTTTTCCAGTGATGTATGTTCTCTGCATAGACCAGAGTTATGCACTGCATTATTTGGAGATATAAAACTACACAATTCAGAAGAAACATACTGATAATGAAGTATCAAAATAGTGCATGGCAGGTGCTGTCCTTGCCCAGGTGACAGTGCTTACTGAGTTGAGATACAACTTTGGTTTTATATAATGCTTCTCATCACAGCCTGCTGCATTGTTTTTGAAGTGCTCTAAGACAGTACTTTTGTCACAGTTTGAAGCTAAAGGATGTGGTTTGTATGAGAGCAGTACAGAGATGTTGCAAGGTAAAGTAAAGGCATTTTCGGGAGGCTGCAACAGAAGTTGACAGAAATACTATGAAACAATTGTCTTCAGGGGCTCCAGAAAAATTTGCTTGTAAAGATCAAAATTCTCACAGACACGGAAGATGCCTGTATGAAAGGCCTTAGGGGTTTTTTTTAATTAAAGTTTAGTATTAAAACAGAGGACCTTCTATTTTGCTACTTCAGTGACAGCCAGTATGTGTAGTTCATTCAGAGCAGAGGGGAGGGGAAACAGGATACAAGGCAGGTGAATACCTCCAAGGATGGGCTGGTGGGTGCCCTCACTGCTGGCTAGCTGCCACAGATGCAGGTGCTTCTGCTTGTGGGAGATGCAGCAGGGCTCCACGAGGCCCCAGCAATGCCCCTGGGGCAAGGAGGTCCTGCTTGGCCACCCTCTGGCATTCCTTGGCCCTGAGAGCTGCCAGGGCGTCCTTGGGCCTGACAGGCACATACAAGCGCTTGGTGTGGCCACCTGCACATAAGGAAAACCACAGACAAAAGCACAAGTGAAACTGGCTCAATGTTTCTCTTCTCATCTTAAGCCAGAGGTGGAGCATAGCCAGGGGCTGCATACCTCAGTCTCAAACAGACCCTGCAAGTGTCCTGGATGAACTCAGTATCCCCCTCTTGCTGTCATTGATAACTGCCCCTCCACTCTCCCCGCCCCAGCATCTACACAGGTGCTGCTGATTTAATAGGCTCAAAATCTACTTGTGGACAAGTTCACCTTTCTCCTAAAACTGTGCCTTCCCCTTTCACAATGCAGAGTACTCCCCCTGCTTTGGCTGTCTTCAGCCAGCCCAGAGGTTTGAGTGGTAATTGTAAGACTGTCAGCTCACCTGACCCCACTATTTTTCCTAACCTCTGAGTGGGTATTAGTGTTATGGAGAAAGAAGCTATTTCTTTCTCCCTTGTGTTGTACTGGGTAGAACAACAACTTTATCTACATTTCCCAAGAAAACAAGGAATATATGGAATATAAGGGTTTTTAATATAAGTTTTTTACAATGAGAGCAGTAAAAAACTGGAACAGGTGGCGGATGCCCTGTCCCTGGAAACATTCAAGGGCAGGGTAGATGTAACCTAGCTTTGAGCAACCTGGTCCAGTGGGAGGTGTCCCTGCCCAGGGCAGGAGTGTTGGAACTAAATGACTTTTAAAGGTCCTTTCCAACCCAAACCATTCCATGATTCAGTGATAACGTTCTATCCACCTCCTCTTTGTGGCTTAAGTCAACAGAGCTGTGGGAAAGGGGAGACACCCTTCAGGTGCCCAGGAGCTGTGAAAAGAAGAGCAAGGCAGAGGCAAGAGACAGGTCACATTGCTACAGGGGAGGTAAAGCAGAAGCTGCTCAGCAGCAACTTTCTGGCCATGCACCACCCAAAATCATCTGACCCATCTGCAGCACTGCACTGGCTTTTACTTGGGAAAATGTTTAGAGGCCTGGGGAAGGTGTTGCAGAAGGTGTAACACAAATGATACAGAGCTGAGTGTTAGCAGCTCTTTTTCTTGCAAAAACAGCAAACAAAGCTCATGATTTGGCAAATAAGCCTGAGTATTGAATAACCAACTGCAGAAAGCTTAGGGCAGGTGTTCCTGGGCTGGTACAGCTTCCATAATGTATAGAGAAGTACTCTGGCAGCCACTTCCAGCCAGACCAGCTCCTGCTTCCTTCAAGCTCCTCTCAGCCCCTACCATAAGCTGAGGAGGGGATTCACCAGAAAAGTGAACCATTTGTTTCCCTTCAGGAGTTGTGACAGCAGTTTATGCTGTGATGGGGGAAGCAGGAACCCCACTACTGGCCTGCAGGCAGCAGAAAGGCCCCCCTACCTCCTAACACAATTCCAAGATGCTGTTCTGCTTTTCTCCCTTTACACCTCTGCTCCTTAGCGAGCAGAGAAAGGTGAGAAAACAATGACCTGCAAATCATGGAATGAGGGTCCCCCACCTATCCAGCAAGCTGTTCTTCCTTTCCCAAGGGCAATGGCCTGGACAAGGACAGCAGGACTCAAGCTGCATTCCAGGTCCAACAGCTACACAGCCAAGTGTGACCAGGACAGCCGGGAGGCACAGAGCTGCCCGGGTGCCCAGCCAGACCCGCCAGCAGCCAGAGGGATCCCTGGAGCAGTCGGGTGAGGCTGGGCTCTGCAGCCACTAGGTGGGAGAACTGAAGTACAAACAGAAACCAGCAGGCAGGGCAAAGCTAAGAGGAAGTTTTAAAAAGTGATGCATCATGCTGGAAGCACAGAAGCAGCAGGGAGACGATTCTAACCTTTCCTCCCATCTCTCAGGCTTGAGGTGCCTTTCCTTGTATTTAATTTCTTTCATGGTTTTCTTGCTAGTTCTGTGCTGTTCTCCAGCCTTCTCCAACCTCTCTCTCTGGATGGAACACAGTATATGAAGGGTAAGGCACTGTTACTGCCTTACCCTTCATATACTGTGTTCCATCTCTGCTTAGCTCAGCGAGCCCATATGTTGTTCTACCTCCTACACTGAGCCTTCCAACTGCTGTTCAACGTTAGTTTTTTCTCACATTCCAATTTGAAGATAACCAGCTTCCTGGCTAGAAACAAATATGAGCCTGGAGCAAGGTCTGAGACTACAGATTATGAAAGACACAGGGAGAAATAATATATTTTATGAAAATGTGTGTCCAACACTGCACAAATTTGGGGGCACACAAGCCCTTCTTCAGTCTGGCACAGCACTGGGGGCTCCTATAGCGGCCCTTGCATTTGCAAGGAGGGCAGCACAGAGCACATGTTATAAAACTGTCAGGTCAAACATTCCTGGATACAGAAGCCCCGGTGGTTCCATCTGCCCAGCATGTTTCTAACCATGCTGGGAGAGCACCACAGTCCCACACAGAGTCCCCCATGGGGGCAGCTCAGTCTTGCTGCACTCAGCAGTAAGGATTTGGGTTCTTTGGGTTTTGTTTGTTTTGTGGTTCTTTTGCACCCCAGACTTCTTGGCAGTCCTTCCTTATGGGAAGAAAAAGGAAGCTGCAGGCAAGCCCAAGTAGCTAATATTGGATTCAGACATTTAAGATGCACCAAGAACATATGGCAGGGCTGCAGGGTGGCTGAATGGAAAATGTGAACTATGCTCAGCTTGATACTTCTCTGCTGATGCTACTCAGACAAAAACAAGTGTCGTCCCCTTCCCTGCAGCCTCTGCTGATACTGTTAAGCAAGAGAAGCTCATGCTTTGCAACAAGCCTGAGAAACCTAGCCGTTTCCAAGATGAAACATTCACAACTCCATCTGCATGGCAAACCTGTGAGTCACGCCCAAAGCACTGTCATACAACACAGCACACCAGGACCACCTCCACCTTCTTCATTTCTGGCACACCCTGCCTGAAACACCTCCAGAGCGGCAACAGCTCTGCTTGGGAAGGTAACAGGTAGCAGCCACTTGTGTCATTCCTCCTCCAGCCCTCTCCCACCCTGCCAAAGGGACTACACTGACAAGAGTGTCTGTTCTTCACTCTGTTTAGTCTCACAAAGGCAATTGTAAGAGAACAAGCAGGTCATCTGCACCTATGCTCAGGAAACGTCTGTGACAGTCCCAAGGATGACAGCAGCTGTGTGACACCACTGGGCACTCCTCTGCCCCAGCTGCTCTCCTTGCTCCTGCTGAGAGCTGGAGCAAGAAGAATTCACATCAACCTGCAGAGCAGGGAACCAGGAACACTCATTTTATTGACAGTCTTGACAATCTCCAACTTAGAAAAAAATAAAAATCAGCTGGTGCAAAACTTTTCAAGGAGATACAGACTCTCAGAGTAAAACGTTACCAGAGTGTTTGCTTTAGTAAGCAGAAGTGGAATGAAACCTTCGCATCACTGGGTACATGCACATACACTGAAGCAAAAATGCTCAGACAATGGCAAGAATAAGGACAGCAGGCCTGAAAGAACACTTTTTAATTCAAAATTAGCAAAACAGGTCCCATATTTAGATGCAAGGTCTGAAATAATTCTTGTTTTTTAAATAACCAAGAAATCAGAAACAACGCAGAAGCCATTTAAAAACTTATTTCAGATGCAGCAAAGTTTGACAAGAAAGTTTGGCCCAGATCTTTAGCTAAAGAGCTCAACCCCAACTGTCCCCAAACCTCTTCCACACTCCCGGTCCATAAGGGAACCTGCTTTGCCAAGTTCTCCAAAACAGATTCATTGAAGGAGAAAGTCTGAGGTTGCTGGACGACATGCCTCTTCCACCTTGCCCCTTTGGCAAGGCAGGCAGCAGGAGCCAAGGGGCTGCCAAAGAGCTGCCCAGCATGCAAGGTTGTGGCTTTGCTGCGCCATCTCTTTTAGGTTTGCTTGAGGACAGCACTTCTAGTGCCCTGAGAGACCATCACGCTGACAAGAGCCAGCACCGGAGCTGCCAGAGGAAGTGTGGCTGTTCAAAAGAAGTGAGTGAGAGCCTTCAGGAGCAAGGTGGGAGGCTCTGGCAGAGCACACATGAGCAGCTCTAAGTCCACCATCTCCCTCCAACACCACAGTCTTGTTCCCATGGCTCCCCACCAGCTACTAGAGGAGTCTCTCCAACAAAATGAAGAAAAGAAAACTGTCCCCCCACTGCCACCTCAGTTTGGAGTCCTTTGCTCCCTTGGTGGCTGCAGGACAGGAACCAAATGCTCTCCCTGTGCTGCTGAAGAGACTCTCTGAGGGCAGCAGCCTGCAGGGTACAGGCATCAGCTCCCAATGCAGGAGGAGCAGCATTGCACTTCTCAAGCCTGCTCACCAGAGAGGAAGCAGAGCACATCAGCAGGAAGGAAGGGAAGCAAAGGTCTCAAACACACCTCCCTCCTGTTTCCTCCCCCCTCACTGGCTCCAGCACCCACTGCACCTGTGAGCCAGAGGGCTGTGCACTGGCCTTGGCTGCTGGGTCATGCCTGCCCCAGTGGATGCGGTGCAAAAGGAGTAAACGTCGTCTTCCCTTCTGGTCCTGCCTCAGTTACCACAGCACCCCTTCATGCCTGCTGTGGGATCCAGCTCCCCTGCTCCTACTGTGTTGTTGGCCACGGAAGCAGGCTCATTCCCCACAGATACCAATGGCCCAGTGCCTTTGGCTGAGCAGTTTGGGACGCCCCTGCACCCCTGTCCCCTGGGGACTCAGAACACCGGGATCTTGTCCCTGCGCACCGTATCCAGGTCATCATCCAGGGTCAGCAGGACCTGAGGAAGAAAGTACAAGGCAGATTCAGGTCTTGCTGGCCAGGCAGCTCTACCTTTCAGACCTTCAGGTCTTGATTTCCTGGGAGGTCTTCCCAAATCCATGATTCACTGGTCACAGCAGCAGCCCCTCAGCTGTCCCACAACAGCTGTGTGACCCACAGCCCCAAAGGGAATTTGAGGCCAAGAGGCATAGGGAGATAAATAAGGCAAAGGAGAAAACCTGATCCCTCTGACAAAGAGCATCCCACTGTAAAGGATGTCTGGAGATAGAGCCAAGAAGAGGAGTTTGGGCACCTCTGTGGGGTCCTGGAGCAGTCACAGGTCCATGTGGATGGAGAGGGGCAAGGTGGAAGAGGAGAGGGTAAGGCCATACAGCAGAGTGGGAGACTCAGCAAGACTCACCAGAAAGGAGAAGAACAAGGCAGCTGCAGAGAGGAAGTGCCAGACATCATGGTCATCAAAGAAACCCAGCAGGATGCATGGCCGGTTCTTTTCCCGGGACTCTGCTGGAGTCTCCTAGGGGAGCAGGCAGAGGGTCAGCACCTGATACCCACTCCGACAGGGCTCTTGCTGATCACACTGGACCCTCTAAAGATCAAGCCATCTTAACCCTCCAAGCAGAACCCAGGAAAAGGTGCTATGCTGGCCAGACATGGGGCGAGGGCAGGCCAGGAATGCAATGTTAGACCTGAAAATGGATCTGGGGCCATAACCCACAGCTGGGGAGAACCCTCTGCTCTCCACATCTGAGGTCCTGCATAGCACAAGCTGCACAGCCTCTACCAGACCACTCTGCAGCAAGCCCCTCACCTCCATGGAGATGGATGTGATATCCCATTAGAAGACATTCAGTCTCCCAGGTCATGGAGAGCCCTCACAATCCCAGGCAGGTTACCACCCCCATTGGCCATCTGCTTCAGGGATAAGTCTTCCATCCAGTGCTAGTCACAATTTGCCCAGTTTTGCTTTCAGATCCCCAGCTTGTCCTCTGTCCCCTGGTGAGGACCAGTCACCTCCAGGTACCTGGGTCATAAATAGCCTCTACACAGATAGATGCATACAGTCATTTTTGGCTCAGCACAGCTTCCCACATTCCCTTCACAGTCTGCTGAAAATAAGCAGCTCTCCATGAGCAGGCCAAGACTCTCCTCCAAAGTACGTTTTGTGCAAAACAAACAACAGGAAGGAAAGAGGATGAGACAGAGATGGACAGAAGGACAGTGAAAGGGGAACTTTACCTCCCAGCTGCTGAGGGTCTGGAAGAAGAAGTAGAGGGCAGCTGCCCACACCACTGCTGTGGCCACAATGCAGAACATGGGGATGGGCAGGAGCTTCTCAGAGCTGCGGAGCTGCAGACAGGGACACAGCCTCACAACACACCCTGAGTTCTTCACAAGGGACAGAGCTATACACAGGGCTGACACACCATCTGCACCTGGGAAGGGCTGCCCAACCCAGCCACCCCTGAAATGGCTACACACCATCCCTCCCCAACACCTTGTCCCACCCTGAGCCCCACAACAGCCCCTCCACATCCCTCTGCAGCACCACAGGAACCCCAGCTGCATCCAGAAAAGAGGCCCATCCCTTCCCCTTTGGAGATAAGCACCCCAGAGACAGCTACAGCTGCCTCCCTCTACCTTCATGATGATGTAGAAAGCCAGATACAGCAGCAGGTTACAGATGAAGATGCCCAGTATGTAGGAGGCAAAGTCTCTGGGCCGATACACGAGCCCAAAGATAGCACTGAGAGAGAGAGAGAAGAAGGGATATCAGACAGCCTCTTTCACTAGGGACAGGGCACATTCCCAAACTGCCAAGGTACAGCCACCCACTGCCCCACAGACACAGCAACACTGCCCCCAGCCAAGGAAACTCAGCCATGGTCAGCTGCTGAAGCAACTGAGACCACAGAGGACAGTAAAGGGCCCTGGGTTGCTTCCAAACACACTCAGGAGCTGGCCCCAGACCTGTACATTTGGCAGAAAGCATGTCCCTAAGCAGCTTTAGTGAAAAGCAAGAGCCTGGGGCAATGATTTTAGGTCTCATCTAAGAGCTAATACCTCCTTGCTCAGCCAGGCTCTGTGACTAACAAGTGTCTGTCAGGTCTCCCGCACCCTGGCTGTGCCAGAGACTTCCCAGCTATGTGGGAAGCAGGTGTACAGCACAGCACAGCACCACAGTACCAAGCCAGCCCTACACAAGCTTGCTTAGAGACGAGCCATGAGACAGCCCCAGCTGAAACACTTAGGGATGCCTCACACCGTTCTGTAGTGCTGCACTGCATCCTACGGATCTGCCTACTGTCAGCACTCCTCAGATCAAGCTCCCCGCCAAAACATGTCAGAAGGGCCCCAGCACAGGATTATTGCACAGACATTGCTGCATTTTCTCATCACTTCAGGCCCCCTGTGTTCCAGTATTGAATCCTGCTGCCCACGTGCACAAATACACAGGACACCAAGATGTAACTACTTACAAGGACCAGTTGACCAGGTTTCCAACAATGAGCAGCACCATCCTGTCCTGGAGGAAAGGCACTGATGATCATATAAAATCAGAAGGGTATGCAAAAAGAGGCCATTGCCTCAGAAATTCAGGATATCATTATGTGAGGATTTGGAGTCTGGTTCCTGCAAACACACGTGCACCTGGCTCTGTAGTTTGCTCTGTGGGAGCTTTATCAGATGGAAACTGCTCTGACTCTCATAAATTTTAAGAAAGAGTTGCAAGAAGGAGACTGAACATCAAAAAAAGAACAATCTCAGCACTTAAGGGATCAGCCTCAGGAGGTTCTGCAAATCCTTTGACTACTTCTAGGAAGTAGTCAAAAACTACTGTTTTTCTAGTTAGATTCCTTCCCTCCCACCGTTTTATAGAAAAAGTACTGCAGAGAGCAAGGACTTGCTTGAAAGACGCAGCAGGGGAAGCTTTGGATAGCATCCCACATGTATTTAGAGACACTTTTTTTCTCCTATCTTACCATTAGCTAGAGAAGCCCTGTAACTACAGCAGGCAGAGGTTTACACTTGTGGGAGATGTGCATTTATGCTTACAGCTGCTTTCATGATGCAGCTATTTCAGGCTGGCCAGGCTTACTTCCTGCCTGAGTGGACTTTGTTTATTCAGAGGTGGGAAAATAAATAAAAAAGAAAGAAAGAAACAAGATGCTCATGGATAAAAACCCCATTTGGCTTCAATCCTTAATTAGCACTCTGCGACAAGAAGAAAGCCATCAGTGGGACACAAGGTAACAGCCACCATTTCTTACTTTTCTGCTGTCTGCCCCAAGGTGCTGCAGAAATGGCAATTGCTTTTGCTTAAACCACAGAGCCAAAACAGTTGCTGCCTTCCCCAGAGAGGCTGCGCTGCACAGAGCCTCGTACCCATTCCTCTGAACAGATGCCCCAGAGAGCAAGTGCAAAGGCAAATCCTGTCATGCTTGTATCACCTTTGCTTTGATGTTTTATTCACCAAGTTTGAGATCGGGGAAGTCTGGAGGTTGGGGGTAAACCACTGTAGCAGAGATCTACACTTACCCCAACCATTCTGGGGGAGGGAGAAGAAGGGAAGCAGGGACCATCACTTTTTCAAATAGACCAGACTCTTTCCTCTGCACATTGCCTGAAGGGTGAGCGATTGCTTAGATAAGAAGTCACCTACCATGTACATTGGTCGACTGCACTGCTGGATACAGTCTGTGTATAGCACCATCACTGCTCGTCGAAATATGCCCAGGTCTGTCAAAGAAGAGGATAAAAAGCCAGAACAGCCAGCAGAGTGAGCCCCAAAATGGGGAAAGACACAGACACCCACCAGCTGACAAGAGAATCCAAGGTGTCAGCAGATGCATTTCTCGCCCTTTGGGAGCAGCCTGTGCTGAGCAGAACAGCCACCACAGCATGTGGATGGCATTTGGCAAAACAACAGGTTAAAAAAAAATCAAAACAAAAATCCTCTCAACACTAGCACTACCCAGAATTCAAACAGGCCCTGTCTGTACATATAAACAGGCTGACTTTGCAACCCCATCTCTGGGAAAGAGATGTGTGTGTGCAGGAACAGGAAAAACACCTTCCATGGAACAAGCTGCCAGAGCAGGAAAACAGCAGAAACAGATCCCACAGCCCTCAGAGGGTCCCAAAGGGACACAGTGCACTCAAGACACTCCGGCTCTCAAAATCATTGCAGAAGCTTCCCTGCAGAGCCATCAGTGGCAGTGGGGATGGATGGACATACATGCACACACATGCCCTTCTTTAGCTATAAATGCAGAGCTTGAAAACGCTCCTGTGCCAAGATCAGAGCTCTTCTGTACTGTATCACCCCTTTCCTGCCAAGGAGCAGGACTGGCAGTGCTGCTGGCAAAATGGTTTCTCTTCTGGAGAGCTGACCCCAGGTGGCACCCGAGCCTGCCTCCCCACACACATCCATGCAACCCCTGGCTGCCACACCGCTGCACAACTCAGCAGAAATAAAGGAGAGCTGCAGACAGTTACCTGAGTCAGGGCCATCTGAGGCAAACAGAAGCAGAAGAAGAAGGAGAAATATGTTTGTAAGCAGAGCACAAGACACAGTTTCCCCACCAGTCCCTCTGCCCCTCACCCTATGACCGAGTGTAGCTCTCTGCTCTGAGCACAGCACTAGGGAGTGTGCACTAGGGAGAGCTATAGCTGAAGGACAGGCTCCCTCAAAGCCCAGCTCTCCTGCCTCCACAGACCCATTGGTCTGGGAAGCAGTAGCACAAGGATTTCAGAGGCCAGGAAGGGCATCGGATGGATGAGAGGACAGGGTAACCTAGAACACAGGCCACAGGACTGTGCTGACAGACACGTTGCACAGGTGACACGCAGGTGACGACAGGAGGCACCTGCACACCCAGGAGGAGATGGATCAGTCACAGCACTTACCCATCTTGAAGCGGCCCATGTAGTAGATCTGGGTGCTGAGAGCCAACGAGGCCAAAACATGGATTATTGAGAAAACAACCCAAAACCACATGTCATTTTTCCCAAACACCTGAAAGCAAAGACACGTTAAAAGCAAACTGAGCCCTGTGCAGCAGGACAATCCTTTCCCGTCCTATATCACCATGGGTCATTAGATAACCTCACTGAATACAGAAAAGAACACCCTAAATCTTTCCACTTGAAAACATATCTATGAGTTCAAAACAAAGTCCAGAGAGGCAAGAGGAGCTCAGCATTCTGGAGAGGAGACCATTCTGTCTGAATGCTCCTTCAGATAAGAGCAGCAGCTTGGAAGGGCTGCAACTGGCCCAGGGAGCAGAAACGCAGGGACACCCAGGCCAGGTGAGCTCTCTCTGCTGAGCTGGGCAGCAGCTCTCTGGCCAGGAGCTGTATTTTCACAAAGGCAGTAAGGGAACCAACTATTACTTTAATAAGTGTACTGCAGAACAAAAAGGAGAAAACCGCTCTGCAGGCAACTGCTCCTACTGTATATTTTCATTTTATTTAAGGACTGGAAGTGACCTACAAGCGCACGTTAAAGCTATATTAAAACCTTAATCTTTCAGTTATACATTAAGGAGTCCAGAAACTCTGATCTATTTGGCTGTGAGCACTCCCTTTCCCTGGGGCAAAGCACTTGCATGAACTTTCCTCTTTACATGTGTGGGGAAAAAAAAAACAAACCAAAAAAAACCAACCAACCAACCAACCGAAAAAAAAAAAAAAAAAGCCCCGACACCACCAAAAATCAAGCAGAAAAGCCACCTCTACATGAACTAAACAAGGGAGATGTAGCTTATATGCTCCACTGAACAGCTTCAAAGCACCCCTCAAGAAAAGATACAGCAATCCATAATAAAGCCCCAGTGTTTTGAACCTGGCTGTCAAGATCTACCACACCTATCAAGAGATTTTTGGGAAGTCCCAAGTTCACCAGCTGCTCCTGCATGCCTTATCCCAGAGTCTCTTACCCAGAGACCTTTGCAGTATCAATTGGTATTCCACACTATGTGTGGTAGGGAGGGGCTGACAGCCCAGTGGGACTTAGCTGCTACTTCAGATCAAGAATTCAATGAATTTTGCCTGGTTACTGATGAACAAAAATGAGTCCTTCAAAAGAAGGGAAACAGAGACCTCCAAAGTAAAGGACAGGATGGGGACTCAGATGAGCCCAGCTCAATATTTGCAATGCTGTGAGTTAACGGGCAAAGCCCTGTACCAGTCCAGCAACTCTGGCTGATTCTTTTTGCTACAGTGCCCTTCCATAGGCAGGTACTCCACACATTTACCTGGGAGCTCCTCAGACATTATCCTAGTCCCCCATCTCTCCAAAGATTGCAAGGCCAACTGCAGGAGCTGTGCCCAACAAGATGGAGTTTTCCGAAGGGGAAAAATAGGCACAAGCAGTTAGGTATCAGATACTTGTCCTGGAAGCTCATCCAGCCTCATCCCGGTCCCCAACAATGTAAGTCACCTCACAGGAAGACCATCTGCATGCTGGGACATGGACACCTGGATGTGTGAAGTTCTTCTCTTGAGAAGGATGGTATGTGGTAGCAAAAGTCCAAAAAAGACTCCACCTAGAGGAAACTGCTCTGCTCTTCCCCCTCCTGAAAGCCCAGGGGAAGAGAGGAGGAAAACCCAAGAGAACTGAGAATTCAAATGCCAACAGCTGCTTAACACACTCTTATCCTACTCTGCTGCTTTCCCCACTTAAGCTATGTTCCCAGCCACACCATCTCCTTCCCAGAGAAGCAGGTAAGAGGGAGCCATACCACTCCAAGGACAGCCAGACAGATCACCACAGCAAACGAGGCATAGGCAGAGTAGGCACTGGCATTGATGTCTGGGTGGCGGGTCTGGTAGAGCTTGAGCATGCACAGTCCTGCGATCATGTACATGAAGGAGGTGTCTGTGGAGGGATCACAACAAACAGTGAAAACAGGTACAGCCAGTGGGCTGAGAAAGCTCCTCTGAGTGCACACAAAGTAGTGCAGCAGCAGGGCCAATCCCAAGGCTGGCAGGCACAAATCCATGATGCTGCACTACATTGTACAGCACTTCATGCTCTGCCATCTTGCAGCACATGTACCATGCTCTGGGGCAACAAAAACTAAAGGGGATCAGAAAATAGGTGCCCACAGTGCAGCACAGAAACAGGCAGGCAATCACAGAATGGTGCAGGCTGGAAGTAACCTCTCGAGGTCATCTGGTCCAACAACCCCTGCTCAAGCAAAGTCAGCTATGAGAGGGTTGTCAAGGACCATGTCCAGTCAGGCTTCGAATATCTCCACAGAAGAATTCCCAACCTCTCCAGGCAATCTGTTCAGTCTGTGACTACCCTCAAAGGGAAAAGAGCCTGGCTCATTCATTTTTGTTCCCTCTTATCAGGTATTCACACTCATAGACAAGATTCTGCCTGAGTCTTCTCTTCCCCAGGACGGAGCCCACAGAGCAAAATTTCCACTGAGATGTCACAGAGGCTTCCTAGGCTTGAACACTCTGCTCCTCAGGCTGTGCACTTATTACCTTCAAGCACTGAGCTGCAAAACCAATGTGAGATCCTGCCAGCACTGCACTACCAGAGTCCTAAGGACTGGAGAGGAGGCTGACATGTGTTAGTCCCCAGAATCAAAAGCCTCACTGCCTCCTGACTGAGCTTTGAAACAGGCAGTCTCCAGGGAGGTTTGCAAGGGTAGAGGGATGGGAAAAATCAGTAACTCAGCAGGAGAGAAAGCGTGGCAATTCCTAGCTCCAGCTCAAAAGGAGAAAGGAAACTCAGCTTACCAAACTGGAAATTGGAGTAATTAGGGCAGACGTGATAACAGGCGCTGAGCACCCCTTCCATCATCAGAGCGATGCCCATAGCATAAAAGAGACCAAAATGCTTTGGGATCCCATAGTCCTGGAAGAGAACAGATCTGCAGAGTAAGTACCCTCACTGTCCTGATGACAGGTGAGCTTCCACTCTCCATCACTTCATCCCTCCTAATTCCTACGTATGTCCTTTAGTCTGCAGTGCAGCACAGTGTGCTGTGCACAACCACAGGCTCTGGATTTAGCCACATGGCACAGCCAGTGAATCCACAGGCAGCAAACTCAAGCTAACCATGCTGAAACTTCTGGTCTGAAGACCTCAGTGTCTTGGTACCAACATTGTGAGACTGAAAATCTCTGTCCTGTACCTCATGCCATACTACATCCTGCCCAAAACTGAGAGAGGACTGGGGACCCAGAATTGTTCTTGTGGTCAGTAGGGTTAGAAGCACCTGAGGAGCAGAGCCCATCAGAGGGCACTTCCATCACAATTTGGCCAAGGTATCATCTGAAAACCACAAGCAGCAGACCCTTACAACTGCTAAGGCCATTACTTGCTACCAAGACAATGAAAACAGAGCTGTTTGTCTCCAGAACTACCAGCACCACTGCCCACAAGGCTGCAGATTTCTCCATCCTCTTTCGGAAGAGTATGCAGAAGCTCTGGCTACAAGCAGCTCTGCTTCAGAGTAGAGGCAGCCAAATTCCTCTGAGTTATCATAGGCATCTCTATCCCCCCTTGCTAACAAGAGTGCCAAGAAATAACTCTTAATTGTATAAGAGAAATCAACTACTTCACTATAACTAAAGCATCTTGGGACACTCCTACCGCCCCAGTTCCTCCACAGTGAGCACTAGTGGACAAGCCACAGCCATGGGAGTTGTTCCTCTATTAACCTCCTTGTGTTCGTAAGCCCAGGCTGGATCACCACAGCAGTGTGGACGTACTATACGTAGCAAAATACTGGGGTATGCAAGAACATAAGCATCTCACCTATACCTTTTTGCATAGGAGCTAAAAAGAGGAGGATTCAATTCTCCAGCAAGGAAGGCAAGTGGAAACACATTGCGTATCACTCTGTTTTTTGAGTTCATCCTGTCTTCCCTCCCTCCACTCAGCCCCATGCAATCATGCTTCCTACCAGGGTATAGATATCTTTCATCTCCATGGCCCGACGGTGGAGAATGTCCCTGCGCAACACAATGAGGAGGAAGAGAAAGCCCAGCATCATGTGGCCCACATTGCTGAGGATGTTGTTGAAGGCACTGCAGGAAAGAAGAAGGTTTAAGACAAAGGCAGCACAGCAGCAGAAAGCTGAATCCTGGGCCATGATAAGCTGAACCCATTTTGCTCCCCCTCCACCATCCTCCACCTCAGCAGCTGCCAAAGTGCCAGTTTGACTCTCTGGATGTCAATTGTAGGTCAAGTAGCTCACTTACCCCAGTGAATTTAGCACTTCCTCTGAGAGATGCCCAACTCTGGACTTTCTTTGCACTCTCACATTAATTTAGAGAAATGCTGCACTGAAAGGACTGATTTGAACTTCTTTGCAGAGCTACTGTTCCTTGGATACAAGTGAGAGCATCCAATAGAGCACAGGAGCACCTCATTGCTGTGTCATAGATTTGGTAGGGGCACCCAGGTGCCATATGTTCCTGGGTGCATGTGTCTCACAGCAGTAAAGTGCCACTGCTGAGAAAAACACAAAGCTCAGAGTCCTAAACTCCCAGTGGTCCTATCAACACAGTTACTGCGAGCCTGACAAGGATAAAATCCTGACGTGGGCACAGCACAAACACTCGAGAAGCTTGAGACAATAATGCAGTGACCACAGGGCTCACTCACCTCAGCACCCCAAGGGGATGAGCACACAGAAAGTTGTAGTAGCAGATGTCCTGATTGCCAGTCACATTTACTACCTAGACAGAGAGGAGGTGGGAAACCCAATATTAGCAAATACTCCCTCCTCTTGGGGGTTTGCTTCGTGCAAACACTGCATGTGCACAAGGTATACCGGGACACAGCCTAGCTCTAGCACTGGCACAGGGGAGTACTGACATCTGTTAGTGAAGCTTTTAGGATGGGATAAGGTGTTGGCAAAGGCCACAAACCTGACAACAGTCTTCAGAGGTAACACTGTGTGCTCTCAACCCCACCACTAATAGATTCTCTTGCAGACATCTGATTAACAGCAGGATAGCAAGGGTAGGGAGAAGGGAGGAGAAATCACTTGTATCACAGCAAACCCTACTTGCTTTCAGTTGTCTTTTACAAATAACAGCAGATTCCTCCTGTCTCTAAAATGAAACAGGACCCAAATGAGACATCAGTTGAGCAGGAAAACAGCTGGACTCCGACTTCCCAAGCAGAAATAGCAGAACTGCAAGCTGAGCAAGCCAAGCGTGCAGTAGCACACAGTACAGAGAGAGCAGCTAAGGTAAACTGTCACTCAGAGCAGAATTCCTGGGTGATCCCAGTTTCACTGCAACTGTCATCTTTACACAGCACAACCACAGAGCAAATTTAAAGGCAAGAGGGGACAGCCACAGAGTCAAACGCACCGTCTGGTAAGTGATGACAAGCTGGATGACCGGCAGGGCATAAAACACTGCAATGGTGATGATGTTCCTGCAGAGAGGAGAGAGCAGCAGCAGTTACACACACCAAAACAAGTGCACACCTGGGACAGAGGCCCAGGGTGCTTGTGGAGGAACATGTACACTTCAGTGCCCAAGGGCACAGATCCTGCTCTCTGGGGTTATGATCTCATTATGCTCTCCTGAAGTTGAAGAGCACATGTGCTAGTGCAAACGAGGCAAATACTAAGAGCACAAGAAAAGCCAGGATGTTGACCACAAGCTCCTGTGTTTGAGTGCCAGTTTCTCCCCTTCCCCACTATGTTCCAGCACACCAGCTGTTACCACGCTTAAAAGCAATGATGCAAAACAAAATCCATTGCCAAGATCATGCGTGCACTGGTCCACAAATATCATTATTTGAGGGATGTGGGATTTGCAGTTACTGGTTGGAACAGGGTGAGAAAGTGTAAGAGGATGGTTCAAAGAATATCCCCACATCCAAAGTGTGGTTAAGAAGGGCAGGTGGACAAACTCCACAACTAAAGACAGTTTCCAGAGCTTGGGTCTTACCAGTTTGCCTTCTCCTTACCAGAAATAGATTTTGTACTTTTTGCTGACAATCCTTCGGTCCTTCCTAGACAAGTCTGATAGATAGAGGAACACCTAAAACATCAGTGGATGGGGAAAGAGGGAAGAAAACAGAAGAAAACTAATGAAGATTACAGAAGCCAGTAGAAGATCCTTATGTATTCAGACAACCTGCAGCTTGGCGCTATTTGGACTGTTTTTATTCAGTGAGATTGTTGTGTCCCTTGATTCTATGGAGTTGAGTTCTGCCAAATCCTCTGACCTCCAGGAATGGCTCCAGACACACAAAACAGTGCAGGATGACAAAAGGAGGCAGCTTGGGAGCTGCTAGCTTAAAGCCCCTCTGTACATCCACTGTAGTCATACTTGTACCAGATTAACTACCTACTACTGCAGATTATTTTCTCGCTATCTGTCACACCTCCTTGGACTTTCTGGGACACTCTCTGGGATTCTTCCTCCTTTCTCAATAGTCCCCAATACATTCTGAGTTTCCATATTAAATCACTCATTTCAGCAGAACACTTAGCACAGCAGGAAAACTTCCAGTGACAGAAAAAATGCTAAGAAGCACATTCAGCTTTAGGAGATTAAATCCACCTAACAGGGAAAAGGAAACTTCAAAATCCTGGTAAGTGACTAGTGCTGGTCCTCGCCTGGATGTGCCCATGGCCCAGCACCAGGGCCACAGCTGCAGTACCAGCCATACCTTGGTGCGGATGATGTTCTTATCACTTTCAATTTCTGGCATGGTGTCGAAGTCACTCTCCTCCTCCACAGAGCTGTCTGTGTCAGAACCAGCTGGTGGCCTGTGCTCAGGGGAGGACATCTGACGTCCACCACTGGAGCTTGACTCATCTGGACCAGAGTGGGGAGAAGGAAATAGGCAGGGTAAAGGCTGAATCCCTCTATGCACAGCAAGAATAAAGCTGTCCCAGATACCAGCTGCACTTGATTTGATACAGCCATTTCAAGGAACAAGTTTTTCCATGATCCCAAACCTTCCTAAAAGTATGAAATTATAATCTAAGAGCACTTTCAAAGATCACTATCTCCCCCTCTGGGCTCTGAAATCTGGAATTCTGAGACAAGCCAAAAAGCTCTAGTGAAAGCAGCAGACTGTTAGGGGTCAAAACCACACTGACCTAGTCAACCTTCAGATTTTATGTAAGATTTATATATATATGCTTTTCTAAAAATATTGTAGAACAAAAGCCAAAGAAGAAGTAAGTCGATTTTTCAAAGCAAGCAGAGCACCAACTTTGCTCCCATTGCATTCACAGTATCGGTCACCTGTGGGTCAGCAGGATCTGCCTGCACTTCTCACAGGCTGGCCAAGCTCCCAGCCCCTTGCCCATGCTGGCACGGGCAGAACACGAGTTTCTTCCTCATTTCCCAAATGCTTTTAAAGCATTTCCTTGGTAATTGGGGAAGGGGGGGGTAGGGTGGTGCTGAAGCCCTCAACTCTACTGCAGGACTTAAATCTTCCTGAATTTTTCCCAAACCTCATGAAAAAAAAGTTCCGTGTTTCTTTGTCAGGCATTGAGAGATACCACATCTTCACAGTCCAACAACTGGATGGTATTTGGAGAGTCAGGGTTGTTATTACACAACAGTGAGCAAATGCATCCTGAACAGGGACCAAAAATTACACAGAGTTGCTCTACTCTCATTTGAGCAGCTGCCTCACACTGCCCTGCACTTGCAAAGCCTCACCCTGCGATCTGGGTCCACAAGCTGTCAAATTCAAGGATTGTCCCAAAGCCCACTGAGCTATTCAATGCCTACACCCTCACAGGAGGGGAAACTGCTGTAAGGAGGAGACTTAGAAATACTCTGGTAAAGGAATTAATTTCCCATCATCTCAGATTAGCAGGACCCTTGGGAAGTTTCTTCCTCCTCTGCCACCAGGGCATGGTTCACCTGCTGACAGCATGACATTATTTCTTTCCTAATGAAACCTCTGGAGTGCAGGAAGCTTCAATTCTGTTTTGCACTGCAGCACACAGCCATTCAGCCTTCCAGAGAAAGGCATGCTTTGGTCTAAAGGCAGGCTTGATGAGTTAATAGCAGGCTTCTAGAAGCTTGCTTGGAAGGGACCTTTGTCAGTCCCTAGTAAATGTCCTGTCTGAAGCAGCATTGTCACCAACACTTCTCAGGTGACTGTGGCTTTGTCTAGCTGAGACAAACGTTTCCAATGACAGTCTCTCTGAGCACCTCTATCACGGATTTGCACCTTTATCATGTAGATGCTTTTCCCTGAAGTGCAACCTAAACCTCCCAAACTGCAATTATTTTGTTTCAAGTAGTTCCAAGATGCTCCCAAAGTAGCTTGCAGCTTTATTCCTTTCTGACTTTAAACCACCTTAAAAGAGTGCCTTCTCCTCCCCCAGGCAGAACCTTCCCCATGCCCCCAGTTCTGGAATGTACTGTACCAATAGCACCATAGCTGCTTCCCTCAGGAGTGCTGGCTGAGATGGGGTGTGAAGAAGTCATAATCCCAGATCCTGCAATGCAAACAGACCCAAGAGGGACCATTAGCTTCATGTCAGTGCTCCAAAACACATCTCTGAGGTGAACACAAACAGCCTGAAGAGCTGGAGGGGCTTGGGAAAAGCAACATTTCTCTAAACAGATGGCAGTCTCTAGAGTATACTGTGCAAAAGGAAAACCCTTGTTTTGCAGTGTGAAGCAAACCCATTCCCTTCAGCCTCCTCAGACAGGCTGCCAGTGAGAGACCGCCTGGCAGCATGAGCCCCCCTCCAGCACCGTGCAGGGAACACACTAGGGCTGCAAGACTTGGTAAATTTTAGAACAAGTCTCATGATGTCTGAACGCTCTTCTGAATTTCTAATTCTTCTCCTTCCCATCTTCATGCAACTGACCTCTCCAAATATTGCTACCTCCAGATACCCCTGGAAGAGTCATAGACTTTAGCAAGGCAGCTGCAACATAGTTTTAACCAAGCAAGGAGAAGGCAAAAGATACCCCATGCAAGAAGTGGCCATAACCTTGTGCTGATGATAAGAGCAGAAGCCTTCGAGGGCTGGAGAGTCCCCAGCTCCTGCCCACACATCTGAAGCAATGAGGACTGTACCTCACAGTCAGGTTACACTGCGACTGTACCCTCCTGCCTCCACATTCCTTTTTTTTTTGCTTCCCATGGTGGAGCTCAGCAGCTGAACTGGCAGCAGACAAACATGGCAGGAAACAGAGCCCGCTGAATCCTTTCACTGAGGGATGAGACACCCATCTCCACAAAACCGAGAGAAGAAAGAGCAGCAGGAGCAGGACCACGTCTTCCAGTGGTGGCAAACAATGAGACAGGTTCAGTTACTTTAAAACTTCACCCTTGCAACAACATCATGTGGTCAGTCAGCAGCAAAGTAATGAACGTGGCACAGTACTTAGAGCCAAGCAACCTTACTGCAGCCTGGAAATGGCCTGGCTTCTCAAGCTGCATCTCTGGCTTCCCAGTACTTGATCTATCTCAGACAGCAGAGGCAGACTCCTCTTTCCAGCTGGAAATTCTGGGCACTTCTGTAACACCTTGCGTAGGTTTTTATACCACTTCCATTAGCCACATACGTAAAGGGACTTAAAACTTGTCCCTGCCTGAGCCCAAATCAAAGAAGCACCCTTACAGCAATGACATTTGATGTTTCAAGTCCCAGTGACTGCTTTCCTTTGGCATGTTCATTCTGCTTGTTGCACTGTGGGCTAATACTTGCTCTCAATTTCAGCTCCTTCTACCCTCCTGCCCTGTCCCTCTAACAGGGCAAAGGAACAGCTCAGAGGAGCATCAAAAGTGAACAACGTGGCATGGACTGAGCACCAGAGGGAAAGAGCTGGCACACCTTAGCCCACCCCTTGAGCCCTGAGCTGAGCTTAACAAGATATTGTAAGTCACTGCAGGAACAAAATCCAGCTTCTACTCATCAGCTCCCATGCAAACTCTCTCTCTCATGGCAGTTTTTCCTGCTGCTTTAAAATCACTTGGAAATCCAGACCACGGGGAAGAAGCATTTCCCCATGTTCATGCCACATGCGCAAATCCTAGTCCTGTCAGTCCTGTCCCACAGGGATGCTCTCTCCTAATTTTAGACCAGGCTTTATTGTCTCAAAATGAGCTGTCAAACCTTCTCTCCCAGGTAACCAAAGGAACATTTAAATCTGGACAAAGCAGGGAAGCCAGGGAGAAAAGGCATTCTGCCCTGCCTCTAACAGCCACTTTGGATCCAATTCACCCACTAATTTCAGTCCCACTTCCCAGTGCGTGAGTGAGTCAGCAAAGTAAATGTACCAGGTGTGGTTCTTCCAGCTATTGCCTCCACCAGATAGTGATGATGTGGAAGGGAAGGTGTGCCACAGGATTAAAAAAAAAAGTGAACCGCAGAAGTCAGACATAAGATGGGAGACAAGAGCAAAGGGGCACATGGAGTTGCAGGATATTCAAGGACAAAGGGCAGAGACAGATTGCTCAACGCTCCCATCCACAGTTTCTTGGTGGGGAAGGGGAAAGGAATGGGGAGTTATGAAGGCAAGACCCAGGGTTACTTTGGAGGAAGAGAAATTCCAGTGGGTTGGAAGAGGAGAAAGAAAAACAGAAAAAGCCAGCATGTCCTGAGTGACTTGCAAGACAGGGAAGATGCTAATTACCATTTTATAGGCATCAGTCAGACACACCCTGAATAAACACAATAGAGAAAGAAACAGTATATGGGTAGAATACGGTTCCTCCCCAGAGGAAAGGACACAGCAGTAACATGCAGTGCCAGACACGTGGGGGTGGCATGGATTACGAGGGAAAGGACAGCTCACAGAAGCAGCAGGTGCCTCTGGGAGGAAAACTGTGCAGGAACTGTGCTCCTCTTTCCGTTCACAGAGATGCTGTTCAGCAATCCTCGCCACTCACCAACCCAGTTCTCTGCCTTCCAGGTCCATACTAAGAACAGCATCTGTGCCCTGCAACTTCTTTGGGAACTTCCCAAGCACCAGAATTTAACTTCTACCTCTCACCAGGGCATCTTAGAAAGCAGCTTCTAGGCTGCCAGCAGGCTATTAAACCTCAGCTGCAGCACCAGTAGCACTCCCTGGGATTTCTGGTCTCACCTGGCTGAGACTGTGCCTCCTTGCCTTAGCCAGTGATCCTTTGTCACCACCCTGGAGCTCTTCCACAGCCTCAGCCAGGTCTCTTCAGCTTCCCCCAACTCCCCAACACACAGGCCCTTCCCATTTCTCCAGTGCCCAAAGACTTGCTCTTGTTTTACAAAAGGATCCATTCCAAATTATTTAAAATAAGAATATATTTAAGGACATTTTTACAGTCTCCTGTTCATGTGGTGAAGAAAATCTTTCACACATATTCCAAGCACAGGGATGCATATGTAGATCTTAGTGGCTGAAGAAGCAAGAAGCCACTCCTGAGAATCCAAACACCCCCAGGTCCTCAGCAGAAATATTAATCCAAGTAATGCCAGGTCAGAGTGAAGTTCCACTGCTGATCCTTTAAGCACAGCTCAATTATACTAGTATGCTTATCTGATGATATGTAGCAGACCAGAGAGACTGAAAAAGCTGAGCATGAAAAAAGGGAACACATCAAGAACCTTAATAGTGCCAAAACAATGTCCTCCCTTCCTCTAGGAGAGAGGTACAAATTACCTCATCACCAATGCTTTGAACTACTTTGCAGGCACTAAATATTTAATCAAAATGAAAAGGCCAGACTCCCACACCGCCAGAAAGCAGAAACTCTCAGTGCTCCCCATCCACATGACAAAAATTTCCATCTCTCACTGGTAGCTTCTCAGATGCAGCTATGTTTTTGTAAGGCAGAAAGCTGCAATATGTTGAGATGTGGGTGCAGCATAAAGTAAATTGAATCCAATGCCAAAGTAAATATCACAAACGCCACTACCTAACTATTAGTCATTCATTCACCTGGTTGTCTGCAACTTCCAGTTAAAAAAATTAAAATACCTCATGCTTAAGGAGAGTATTAAAATACCTCATGCAGAGGAGCTCTTAAAGCATAAGATATACCCGAAGTGCCCTGCTTTAAAATCAACAGACCTGACATCAGGAACATTAGCCTGTAACTAGGTCTCAGCAAGGCTTGACCTTCCTCCACCCCTTTAAAAGCCAGCTCCTCAGAGTAGGGGTCAGGACCAAGTTCAGGGGAGCTGGCTTCAAATGCCCTCTCTTATGATGGCAGTGAGGAAGCTCTAACATCTTTCATCAGCACCAGAGACTGTGGTACATGTACATGAAAGATGGCTTGCAGAGACTGAAGGTACTTGACTGACAGCCTGTCCCTTGCCTAGCCTAGGACCTCTGCTGTTCACTTAAAGTTGCTTGAAGTTGTCACAAAACAGAAAAGAAACCTTACCATGCTCGGGACTCAATCTCCCAGCAGAAGCCTTCCTTTGAACCCTGAAAAGGAACGGACAGCACTCATGAGAGACCCAACAAACCCCATCACCTGCCAGCCATGGCAGGATTATCTAGGACACTAATAGGTAAACATGGTGCAAGCTCTAAAAAACAAATAAAACCAACAAAAATAAGCACAAAAGAAACAAACACACACAACAACAAAAAAAAAGAAAAATACTGTTTGGATGAAACACAGCTTAGCCATGACTGCCTGCTGTCCACCTCTCTGACTCCCAAAGCAACAGAGGGCTTTTCTATGCCCTCACCTACCCAGCAGAGGTGGGACAACCGGTTATATGACTATCCCATCCTACACTGCTCACCATGTTGGGAGAGACCCTCACAACACCTTCCCAAACCCAGCTTCACCACTTAGAGAACCAAGCACATAAGAATCTACTGAAAGGGCAGCAGGAGCTAGAGGTGCTCATCAGCACAATGCTTAAGAAGCCCATATCACCTCCTTCAATGCAGATGTCAAGCAGGAGATGGTGAAAAAAACAACAACGACATATTCCCACAACTAAGAAAAAATAACAGCAAAGAAGACTGCACACTTGCACACACTTAAGTAATTTCATTGAATTGTTCCAATGAAATGTTTGATTAATGTGTCTTGAAGTTAAGCCATGTCCCCATCTTGAAATTCATTTGTTTCAGAGCACCGAGTCTTAATGATTCCATGTTCTGGAGGGGCTGAGAACTCTTTCTCACATTGGGGTCTGAAGAGGTGGCTGACAAGCACTGTTCCCACAAAACCAACCTGCTACTTGATGAGAGCTTTATATGTTTCTTGCCATGCCAACCTTTGTCCACAGGGGCAGGGAGGAGTATTGAAGGGGCCTCCCTCTTCTCAAGCCTCCAAACGTCTGGACAAAGGATTTGCTCAATGATTTTCACTGTTTACGCAGGCAGCAGTGAGTGATCCCAACAAACTCCACCATCTCCACCACCTTATGCAGATACTCTTCTCAACACAAGCCCAGACACCAAAGTCTGGGGCAGGTTAGGCAGGTAAGGAAGGAAAACAGCACTCTTGGGACTCCAAGGCCCCATATGTGTCATTGCCACTTATTGCAGTAATCAGTCCAGCAAGAAAGTACCTTACTTCCTCAATGCTCTGGCATTCCATATCCCAGACTGGCCGCATCACAATTCCCACCTGTGCCCCAGTGTCCTCATATAAGGAAACCTAGGGTTGAGGAAGTACAAGATCTGAAGGCCAGACCCTTAGGTTTTCATCATTGCCATGGTCCCCAGAGCAGAGGAAGAAAAATTTTCTGGCTGATGGTCAGTAGGAGCCCACTGGGCAGTCATGGAATTCTTTAGCTGCTCTGTTCAGATGCTTGTCACCCCAAATGTACTGCAGGGTGAGGTATCCCTGAGGATGATGAGAAACAGAGAGGCTATTCTTGTATAACTCCTCAACTCACCTAATGTAGTGCACAAAAGCAACAACCACTGAGCCCAGGTAAAAGGAGAGGAAACCCAGGAAGCTGAAGAACATGGCCTGGACATAAACGGACTCTGAGGAAAGAGAAGACATCAGTCACAGCCGGGACAGCACCTCCCAGGGACAGCACTCATGTCCTGCTCTTCCCAATACCACCTGGTGACAATGCCCAGTCCCAAACAGCCCTTCAAAACCCATCTCCTTTCTTCAAAAGAAGTTACCAGAACCTGTTGCAAGATCTCCCTCCATTTCTCCACCTCCAGTGCTAGCTGGTGTGCCCATGAGATCACCCTGTGCCACACAGCACCTCCTGGAAAGGACCAGGGCTCCAATTGCTGGTGCTTTCAGCACCATTCCATCAGAGGCTGCTAGCCCAGTCATACCCTTCTATTCAGAAGTGCCAAGTTCCCCTGTAAAGTTGCATTGCTCTGCCCAAAGACACTGACTTTTAATAGAGGGCACAATCGTCACTTGAAGGCTCTTTGTCCGCTGCAGGTTCCAGGTACGGTTGGCATTCCCTGTGAGAGGCAAAGTGTACAGCAATTATAAAAACAATCAAACATTAATGTCCTCTTGCCCTGATCTTTATTCTCTGAACTTGCAAAAAACAACAGGATCTGGCTTTTCACTGCAGTCTTTGTGTGGTTTTGCTTTAAACTGCTCCTAGACTTGTCAGTATACAGACTTTTCCAAATGTTTCCCCCCTCCTCTCTATCCACAACCTGTTTTTCAGACTAGAAATCGCTGCTTCAGCCTTCCATACATTGCTGAAATCTGGGTGCCTGAATCGCAAAGGCATCTCTTCTATTCATTTAGTCCCCAAAGGACAGATGCTCTCATTACAGATACCGGGACACAATTTTTGCCTTTGGACAAATCTCTGTGAGTAAAACACTTCCATGCAGGATGCCATGCTAGAAACTCTATGTTTCACCAGGGCTTAGCAAACTTGGCCAGTACAGCTCTGCTGACAGCTTTAGGATAAGAGAAAGACACCCTCATGGGGAAATTGGGACAGGGAGGGGCGGGGGGGGGAAATCATAGCTACCTGGATAAGACAGAGCTATATGACCATCTCATGTCAGCCCACAGGAAGGTCCCAAAGGACACCCACTTCATCACACAGATGCAGCACTAAATCCACCTCCCAGAACAACTTACCATGAATTGAAGAAGGCACAGAACCCCCACAGGCATAATCCTCCGGCTTGATGACGAACACAACGAAGAACTGCTCACCTGGGAAGTCCTTTCTCTGCACAAGAGGACGGAACAAGACAGAATCCACAAGACATGAAGCCTCTCCCTCTAATGCAAAGCACGGGTGGTGCTCCAAAAGGCCAGAGGTCAGGTTTTAGTTGCTATACAGGCACCAGCCTTACAGAGACCCACCTACTCTGGACAGAGCCTGGCTTCTGGGGATGCGCCCCTCATCCTTGCTGACAATAAGCTGGGTTCACCAGTATGCAGTACAGCAGTACCCCAGTACAAGCAAACCAATACTGATGCATTTATTTATTTATTTATTTATTTAGTGAAAACCATCTACCTCAGCTTTGCTTATTATAGAGGCCCTACTACCACCACTCAGTGGTAGAAAAGCCAAGGTTCAAACAGAAGACACCTGGCTTCAGCTACTCTGATCTAGAGCCTCAGCACCCAAAATATTTGCCTAAGCAAATGTAAGCAAGTTTTCTGTAGTAATAAGTACTGTCACTTCTTCCACTTACATCAGCTGATCTGATAAAAGCAAAGGTTGGTACTCATAGAAGGATCATCAAAAGAAAACTAGGAATGCATAGAAAAAGCCACTGAAAAAAAACCCTACAAAAAACACTGGGACAAAAATCAGCACCTCACCTGCACTGTTATGGCTGCTTGCTTAGTCATAGACTGGTAAACACCGTTGAACTCCACATTATGGTCCAGGTCATACACTGGGCACTAAAACAGACACAACTAAGGGTTAAACCAGGGACAGCATCTGAACTAATTTCAAAGGAAGCCAGCTGGAGAATACAGGGCAGAACAGCAGAAGAAGGCCTCAGCCAAGGTATCAAAAGGGAACAAAACAACTAGAATCCATTAAGAAGTTAGACTGCTCTGAAGACATCAGTTGTGGCCTGCACTCACTGATCTTGGTGTTCTCACAAGAGGACTGCAATTTAATGCCAAACGAGGATTCAGCCAGATTGATCGCTCCACCATTCCCACAGGATAGTGCAAACACTCAGCTGTACACTGGTTGTGTGACACACTTCACAGTGTGTACTATATGCCAAGTGCTTGCCCTCATTTTACTTTCCCACTACTTTCAATACCTGAAAGATTGAATCATCTATCACAGTCTTCCCTCCTGCCCTTCCACCATTCAAACATTGGGATGTGGGCAAGAGTTGATGTCATCCACTTCTTTCTTCACCCCAGGTATTAAAGGCAACTCCCAGGGCTTCGGAGCCAGCACCCAAGGCATCCTGTACCTCTGTCACCATTTTGCTGCTCTTGCACTGCAGGTCCCTGCATCATTCAGGGACGTGGGAAAGGAGGATAAATATCATGCTATTTCCCAGCTGCAAGCAACAGCCATTCTCCCCTTCCCAGGAAAGTGGATGAGTAACTACATAGAGAGAAAATTGAATTGGAAAGGAGAGACCTTATAGCTGAAAATCAAGCTGCCTTGAGACAGGGGAAACTCAAGGGAACAGCACTGTTTCCTCCCTCAGCCACCAGCATCCCATCCAATGCCACTCCATGGAGAGACAGACTTACATCACAAGGCAGCAGGGAAAATCTCAAGGGGAACACAACAAATGCCCTATGGACAGGCTGGAAAGGAACAGCTTGTTCACCTATTTGCAACAAAAATCTCCATATGAGCTGCTCGAACTCAGCATCTCTGCCTCTTTCCCACAGAATTTTCGTTCCTCTTTCAGGAGCTCTCTTCACCACCACCAGGGTGAAGTCCTTCATAGGGCTTTTCTCTCTGTAGGGCACAGACCCCTCACAACAGGATACAGAACTCCTTCAGGCAGCTCCTTACCCTTCTCTGCTCAGACTTACCACAATATCCTGGACGGAGACAACCGAGCATGGGTACGCTGCATCAGACACCACATTAATAATGACTGAATCGACATCCTGAGGAAATTTGTACAGAAAATACTGAGGAGAAAGCAGAGAGCGGAGAGTTATGATCCAGAAATCACCCCTGGCAGTAGGTTCAGCACCTTCCTAAACTGCCTGTGCAGGCCTAGCTGGGCTTTGCAGTTGAATGTGGATGGCCTTCACAAAAATTCAGATTTCAAACATTAGGACCTTAAACTACAGAAGAGCAGATTAAACACAACTCTCCCCCTTGCACATCATGCTATTAGACATAAACATCTTCGACATGCAAGATACAGCATAGCTTTTGCTCCTTTAAGCTTTTTTCCACCTGATGAAGCTAAAGTGACTTCATTTTACACCCCATTCCATTTTATGTTGATATGAGCAATTTCCAGCTGTTTCCATACTGCTGGCCGTACTTTATATACGGAACACATCATGGAGTTTACCTCAAATGTGTTGCCTCAAAGACAGACTGTGAAAAGTATTAGGTCAAATGGCTGAAACTCTGTCAAGAGTTTCATTAATAAATGATTGATACTAGTTGTAGGATTTAGGATTTTTTCATTTCCAATGCAAACGGTAATGGAGGTTTTCTCTTCTCACTTCAGCTTTTCAAATAACTCATCTGTAGCTCTGAAAAACATTGGGAGACACTAACATCTGCCAATATTCCTACTTTTCCTCTGGAGGCAAGGAATGGTGTGCTTGTGCTTCCATGCTTTGACCAGGCCCGCAGGACAGTTTGTGGGGCCAGAAAGATTTTTCCAGTAAAAAGTCTGATGTACTGCCCCAGTCAGTTGCTGGAGAAGTAGGGTTTCTGTGCCTGCCTCAGCAGGCAGGCTTGTTGCAAGGGGTCCCACCATCCTGCTTGGAGCCCAGACTCTGAGAGCTGTTACAGCTACCAAGAGGGGCTGATGGACACCTCACCTCAGAGGGTACACAAGGCTGAGGACTGCCACCAGCCACCTTCCTTCCTTCCATATGGTCACCAGGCAGCCACTGCCACCACACTGGAAGCTACCACAGCTCCTGCTCCCAAGTCCTAAGACCTTCCCAACTGCAGAGCTCCCTTTATGTCTCATAAAACCTTAGTGGTGAGCAAGGGCCAGCTATTTCCCTTTTCCCTTCCCACATGCCATTCCCAAGGAATTAAGGCCCCCTACTGGAAGGGCATGGAAAAGCAAGAACTCACCCAAGCTTTTTTCCAGTTAGCCCATTTCTACTAAAGCGTATTATTCCCATCACCCTCTCCAAGCAGGTTGCCTTCGCTGCTGAGGGAGCGCTGGCTCCAACTGCAAGTCCTTACTGAAAACTCACCAAGCCGGTTTCTTTAGCTGAGCATGGTCTATTTCCACCAGGCAGCCTGAGCTCCTGGGTTTCCCAGGAACACTGCCCTTGGAAAGTTTCAGGTCCTTGAGGAAGTCACCCATGAGGATTCTTCTATAGTTTTCTCTAAGCCACACTTACACCAAAGCACAGAGTTAATACAAGGGGAACTGAGACCTAGAGTTCTCTGCTGCAGAGACTGTGAGTGTTATAAACATATCCAGCAACACTTCTGACCTATACAAGCATATCCAATTTCTGCTTCTGCCCTCAGGCGTGAGCTGTGTTCCACAAAACACCTCCTTCAATTGTTACACTTGTCTTTTTCCAACAGCCATCTATATCCTGAATATCTTTTTTTTTCCTTCCTCCTGTAGATTACTTAATACTTTGATTTACAAAAATCTCAGCATTATACCAATTAAGAAGCACTCATCTTCTACTCCATACAGCTGGTTTTTAATTAAAAGTCACAAATCTCTTATTATTAATTGTGACAAAAAAACCAGACCAGAGTCACAAAGTTAATTCCAGGCCAGACCTTAAACAGTCTACATTCAAAAGATAAAATCCTAAGTAATGAGTGTTTTTTTTCTAGAGAGTCACCACCATTCTCTACACTTCTATAGTATAAAATACTGCGTGTATCTGCAAACCAGCTTCAGACATTTCACAACAAAAAAGATTAGCTAGGATGCTTGGTAATAGGAAACCTAAAATTAAGTGGTATTACTAACAGTGAAAGCAACAACAAAAACAGAGTAACAGGCAGCTTGGGTAAATTACATACCTTTCCAGCTCTACAAGTTCCTTTATCTCTATAGCTACTGCTAACAGCATTTTCATTCAAGAGAGGATTTGTATCTGCAGGGCTCTAAACAAGGCTGTCCAGCTGGAGGTGCCGCACATACGTGCTTCCTTCTGAACTTATAGACATATCAGGCATTTCATTTATCACCTCACACCTTGACTTGCTGCCCTGAGCAAGGAATAGCAGTGTGAGTTCTGCTGCACCTTTACAGCTTCTTTATTTCTGGTTTGTTTTTTTTTTCCAGTAAAGATTGCATCTTGACAAGTCACGGTCAGGCAACTGAACCAGCACTGCCTGGAACAAGACACTGGTGTGCACCACCTCACTTCCCATGAAGTGCAGCAGACCAATGGCCTCTGGACTTTTGTACATTTCTGACATTTCCTGGAGAGCCAATACCATTCATTTGCTCTGCTCATGGGTTTTGGCTCACTGAACTGCTTTGCAAGAGGACCCCAATGTGTCCCTAGAGCGGTTGAAGCAGTTATCTCTTCATTATATCCACAGAAAATTCAACAGTAAGGAAGGTTCCCTGCATCCTAAGAGGGAAACAACCTAGTCACATAAGATCTTTTCTATCTCTATAAAAAGATCACATCAATCACTTGGATGTGGTAAGATATACAGGCAATAATGCTACATGGGACTTCTCCTTACCTGGGGCTGGGAAGGGCTGGCAGTGAAGTTAAAGGCTCTGTTGGTCCTAGAAAACAAATGCCAGTATGTTGAAGTCTAAAACTTTCAGAGCTGGAATATACACAAAGTACCCTCAGATTAAACAAAAGAAAAAATAATTTTTTTTTCTGGGAAGGAAAAAGAAGGGAAGAGTAGGCAGACGGACCAAATCCCTGTATAAGAGATCCATGAAGAAAATTACATTTGTATTCTCACATCCCAACTTACTCAAGTTGGAAGTTCTTGAGCCTGGTGACTAGCAGCTCATAGGCAATGTTAAATGGTGCCATGGAAGCAACATCCACAAATATAATCTGGTCAGAGGGTCTTGTTTCAGGTGTCGGCTCCGAGGGACAGAGGGTGCGACTCACTTCTTGGTAGTTGTAGGTCCTCTGATAGCTACAACAGCCAAGGGAAGGAGGGAAGGGAAAGTTGGATGGCAAAGCGAGCGAGAGAGAGCAGTTAAAAAGTTGTTCAGCAGTGCTAAGAATGACATCATTTTTCCCCTGCTCGCATAACTGCAATTGTAATCTGAAAGGCCAAGGGCATTCAGTATTTTATTCAAAGCTCAAACTCCACTTGTCTCTTGGGGTCCACACGAGGGACTGGTCATCCCCAACGTTTCTCTTCCCTCGAGGATGCCCATGCCATCTGTAGATCTTTAATATCTGCCATTTACTGGAGGCAAAGAGCAATGACAGCCCAGAGCAGCCGCTGCTGTAACCAACCCTTCTGTCAGGCAAAACACTGCAGGGGATCTGCTGCCCAGCACCAGGACTCAGTCACAGGACAAAACCTCAAATCTCAGATGGTCTAAGGAGCCTGCAAAGTTTCCGTATCTGCAGCCCAAAGAGCTCTGAGGTTGAAGGTATAAAGCAGCGTCCCTTTTGCAAAGAAAACGCCTCCCAAACAACCTCCCAAGAATAGACTTAACACTTGGGTTTACCTGGGGTGGAAAACAGAGGAGAGCCCTTATTTCCTAAATGCACTGTAACACAACAATTGAGAGTGCTCTTTCAAGAGCTTGTTCAAACCCTGCTCCAGAATAGAGCCCAAGAACTACCCGCACACATGGTAAGCAACTGTGGAATAACAACACTGACATGTGGTAGATTCACAGGCAGATTCCCAGGAGACAAGCCTCCTGGTACTCTGTGTTCATATTTGAGAAACTAAGAGACAAGAGCAGGCTGCCAAGTAAGAGGTTACCAACCAAATCTTGGTCTTCCTGTTGACAGTGATCAAGCACGCTTTGCTACCAAGCCCTGCAGTCTACACAGGTTACAAGACCTAGCAATTGAGGAAAGCTGATGGTGGATAAGCTGGCAGGCAAGCGTGTTACAAAGAAGAGACTTCAGTACTTACAGGCCTCGAAAAATTAACGGGACCTGCCATGACAGTACTCCCTTCTGCTGGCGAACTACAAACAGCACAGGATATCGGAGGTTCTCGGAGCTGCTGTTCACATACACCCGCACTGCATCCACCTGAGGGAAGAGAAAGGAGAGCACAGGTAAGTATTAGCTGAAGGTAAAGAATAAGATAGCTCCAAATCTAAGTGGGAGGAGCCTGTCCCCCTTTCTCAGTCTAACCTAGATGCTGACAATATCCATAGGGAGATCAACAGTGTTTGTCAATAGACTGGTTATTCAGATCCAGAGGTCATTTACAGAAGTGCCTCTTTGCTGATGCTGTAACCCAGAACCACAGCCCTGCACCCAGGTCAGAAGTGACTGTCAGATAATATACAGTGGACCAATACACAAGGCATAATAAGAAGAGAGTTCAGTAGCTTCTGCTAGGAGCAACCTGAATAACTTGTGCTATAAAATCAATTAAACACACACACACAAAACCTAGACCCAAAGCTACAACTGAGAATTTTCTTGCTTGGACTCTTATGTACCCTCCTCTATCAACTTACTGGGAAAGTCACAAATACAACAGAGATTACATCAATAGCCAAGGACAAAAAAGCAGGATAGCAGCTAGCACCTGGCTCTGATGTAAATGATACCCAGATAGCCATAACCTATATATACTCCACCTATCAAAACAGGAACACACTGCTGAGTGCCCTCAAGTGGACAACGAAGGCTGCTTAGCCTTGTGAGCAGGGGTTTTAATGCAGTCCACTGCACCAGCAACTGAAATTTTTCCTTACATTACCTGGCCACCACATGGCAGCAGAGGTAGGACAGCTGTGGGGTATAACACCCTCAGTTCACCTTTTGAGAAGCCAGCAAGCAGTTTCTCTGCACCAAATAGAAATGTCACCATTTCCATTTGAAAAGAACATCCCTTCAGCTCTCCCTCCAGAATGCAGACATTGATGAAGAAAACAGAGTATGAGAATGCATAACTCATTGTAAGAGACAGCACATCTTGATTAGATGCCTTTAAATAATGAAAGCATATTAAATAGGTAAGATACGCACATTTTAAACCCAACACATCTTGAAAGATTAGAACAGATTCCCACCAGATTAGTGAAAGACTTTTCACAGATATTTTGACTTTATACCCTCCAAGAACAATAAAGGTAGAAGGGGTAGAAGTTTTTTCACCTTCTGAAAAAACATACAAAGATAGCAAGGTACCAGGAGGGGAGCTACCTGAGATGGCAGCTTATTCTTACACCGAGGACACCAATTTCAGAGAAAGGGCTTACATTTGCAATCTCAAGTCAAAAAGAAAATGTCCTATTTATTTTTAACGATTCTAAGCTCACATGGGAGTTTAGCCTACTAGAACAAAACACCTTCTTCAAAGCCATAATCATTATCAAATTTCCTGCCATTATCATCACGATACAGAGACTACAGCCACCATTTCCTAAAAATTAAAAAGGCTTCAACAAAAAATAAAATAATAAATAATTCCATTAAAGCTCCCTTTGAGACAGAAGGGCAGACACTGGAATCTTTTTCCATTGTCTTCTGGCTTCTAAACCTTTGCAATACTCCTTTGGCACGCCTTCCAGTTTTTTCTTCTGGTTACAAAAACCACACACACAATTTTGTTTCCAAGTAAATTTCGCCATAGGGTGCTAAAATGAAGTTAAGAAAAACACCATCACAAAGCAAAATGCACAAGGAACACCTAAAGGTATCAACACAAGAAGGCACCACAAACAGACAGCATTGAAGGGATATTTGGTGGCTTCCTTAGTCTCTGTGTCTTAGTCTTCCCCCAGCCCTGCTCAGCTGGGGGAGCCGTGCCAGCACACGCTGGTGTAACTGGGAAACACAGGACTGGGCTGAACAAGCTGCTGTTTGTTTGTCAGTGTTTGCTGTAGTCATTGTGAACAGGGACACAAACGAAGCAACGTTTAAACTGAACAAGAAAACAAATCTAAGGAGCATGAAGAAACGACAGTCAAGTCAGAGTTCTGCAAGGAGCCATTCTCCATCCACAGGAAAACCAACTATCATTGCAGAAAAGACACATTTCGGCACCCAGCAGCTTTTTGCCCATGAAACAGTCAAAGCACACCCACCTCTACAGGTGAAGTCATTCTCACTGCCTCTGGTTAAACACCAGTCTGTGAACCCTCCAGGGCTCAGCACATCAGCTCAATGCAACAGGGAGCTCACAGCAAATAGCACTACTGGGTTATACATCCTCAACTACATATGAATACAAGATAGACATTGGGAAATTCTCTTCTTCACTGACTTCACGAATACAGAACATAACCCATAACACGGGTTATGCATATGTGGCAGATAGTCAGGTTTACTTAATTGTATAGGAGTATAAGTACATTAAATGAGTACAATTCATTCCCAATCCTCTCAGTCTCTCCTTATAGGGGAGGTGCTCCAGTGCCTTCATTGGCTTTGTGGCTCTGCACTAGAATCACTCCAGCAAGTCCATGCTTGTCTTGTACTGGGAAGACCAGAATTTGGCACAAGCACGATCACCTAGAGCCAGCTGACCATGGATGGAGACTCCACAACCTCTCTGGGAGACCTGTTATGGTGACTGACCACTCTCAGTAAGAAAAAGTTTCCTCATCTATCCCAGAGAAGGACAACGGAAGGAAAAAAAGAGCATTTGTGATTAATGCTTTGACAGGGAAAAGCCTGAGAGGGGAGAGAAGGTCCTTTCCCTCTGCTGTGATCCAGTAGTCAGATTCATTTGGTTTCCCTCTCTCCACAAAGCTAAGCTGACTATATACCATCTACAACACTTACTCAGCTTTGCTGCCAATTCCATTATCTTATAATACCAGTAAGAAATAGGATTACTAGGAGGGAGGCAAGATTCCCAAGCCTCAATATTCTTTTAAATCTAAGCACTTACCCACATGAAAACTTGTATATGCTATATTACTACTATACATGACTTCTCTGTTGTGTTCAGCACTCTGTCTTTGCTGCCTGGAACAGCTGGTTAGAGCTCCTTTGACCTGTTCCTATGAAAGCCCATATTCAAGCGCCTTGAGCTCTTTTTGGTCTGATAATATCTGGGCAGCATCCAGCTGCATCAAGGCAGGACCACCTATAGCCTAAGTATGGTATCACAGGTGTGATCCCATTACTTTCACCCGTCTCACCTTTCTCTCTGTACTCTACACAGGCAAAGCTGCTTCTCAGGCTACGTTCAAATAAGGTGCCTCAGAGAGGAACATCAGAAAGTCAGAAGCAGCATTTACAGAGCAGCTCATTAAGAAGAACCCTGTGTACTTTAAATTCCATGTCAATTTATCAACAATTCACTTGCAGCGAATAACCTCTGCTTCTCCTGCATTTGCACATACCCAGACCAATCAGGAGCATCACACACCCTAAACCCACCAAAATCTTTATTATAAAGTCCAAGAAACTAACAGGGTGATTGAGAAGTTGGACAGACGGTGATTGAGGTTCCAGTCCACCCAGTTATTTACCCTGCTGCCATCACCACAGTAACACAGGGCCTCTTGTGAGCAGATCCTGCACTTCCAGTGGAGGGGCCAGATTCAGTCTTAGGGATGCACTTCCACTCTCCCCCTCTCAGGTCTCAGGGATACAGCAGCAGCAGCTGCCAGCAGCATAAAGCTTTGGTTGATGTGCCTCTTTCTGACACAAAAGCTATTCCTTACAAATACAGCAATAAAACAGGTGGGATTTGCTTGTTGGCCAAACCTGCGCAAGAAGCTGCCAACTGATGGTCCCCCCAGATCCTTCTCAGCACTTGTAAATGAGCTCAGAGATTTCAGAGCAACAAAGTCCAGCAGAATCCAAGTGCAATTACAAGGAAGCTTGGGAAAGTGGAGAAAGGATTACCACTTAACTGCAAACAGGGCTTCTCTGGTCTGCAGTCACTCGTTCTCCAATTTAGTGCTACAGAGTGGAAGGAACTCTAATTAGTGTCTCGGAGAAACCCATTTTCCCTGGCACAATGTACTGTCTAGCAGGAGCATCAAAAGGGACAAGGATAAAAATGTAACACCTATGAACTGATGTTTGTGGGTTTTCAGGCCTTCTCTAATTAACCTACCTTAAACTTTTAATCTATGTTTTGCCTCTAGATTCTCTTCTCTTGATAGACAATATATACATTTTCACACAACAGATATAATGAATTCACTTCTAAGCCAGCGTTAGTAGTCCCATCTTCCCCTTTGAAAGTCAGCATTTGGCATTTGCCTCAAGCAAAGTATTTTTAAAAGAGTGGAAAAAAATCAGGAAGTGAAGGAAAAAAAGGTGATTTATTTACCTCAAACATGTTTTCCCCTCCACACCTTTCCAAAGGTTTTAAAAACAGGCAGTTCTAATGCAAGAACCCCTCCTTGCTACAGAACTATGGCTCTCATCACATAAATGAGATCTCATATGTAGAGACAAGAGAAACTCCAGCTAAAAAGTATTATATAATTTTATTTAAAATTATAATCATCACGAAGACTATGAGCCTCCTCTGCATCCATCCTCACTCACTCAGCACTGGTGAAATGAGGAGGAAGTTTTGCCTGGGCAGTAAGAGGGTCAACCAGGCTGTTGTCACTCCTGCATCTCTACCATGCTGAGGTACTTCATTTTGGAGCAGACCATTCCCAGCATCACAGAAAGCTAGTTGCACTTTCCCCTTCCTTGTACACACAGAGAAGGAGGCTGTCTATATGGGTACTGTAATATGCTTCTAGATTTCATCTGTACCTTCCAAGCTGAAATCTCCGCAGCCTCGACAGTCCAGGCTGGATCTTGGGAAACAACCTTGCGTATCAAATGCTCCCTTTGACAGCCAGGCCCTGCACAAATATTTGCCATCACTAACCATACTGCTGCCTTTTGCATTGTGGGGCTGAGGCAGGGTAAGGACTGCTTCAGAGACTTCTGCTCCTCACATTCCTTCCCAACGCCAAGCCTCTGCCATGTGCAGAGGCTATTCACCAAACAAGATCATGATAGTTTTGTTTCTCAGACGAATGACCTTGAGGTTTCTTCTGTATTTCAAGGTGGACA